AAAATTCAAATTTATTTGGAATCAGCGCGACGCGGCGCATCGATTTCACTTATAGTGAAGTCGATTTGAGCGAATTTTTTTTTTTTTTAGAAAAACTCGATTATCTCGGCTCCTATGGGTCTTAGCGCAAAAATAATCGAACTTAGGTTCCCGATTTTTTTACAATGACGAAATAATTTACAGTTGTTTAAATATATTGATTTAGTAATCAAAATTAAGTATTTTTTATGTACTATTTTTATTTCCATAAATATTATTCCAGAGACACCCAAAAACTGACTGGTTAATTATTATAATTTTTCGTCACAGCTCTTGGAAAATTTTGGGATTAAGAAAAATGTAATCCGCAAAGATGTCTCCAGTTTTTAATCTGAGATAGATAGTCCTCAGAATTTATCCGAGACGAGAAACAAGGAGCTATATTTAATCCATAATAATTCAAGAACACCTCATCTTTTCATTATTTTCAAAATACTCCGTCTAGAATAATCCATTCGACTTCTCAATATAAAAAATGCACTGGAGGAATAAAATTAATCTCTCACGCCATCGACCACCAAACGTCCCAATAACCCCGTGACAAACCGTGAAAATAAATTTCCCATAAAACCCACTAAACAATCGAAACCGAGGGATTACCATTCAGCACTCAATCCCTAGTCAAATAAAAATACTCATCCACCTTCAATTCCCTCTCGACTCCCCGAAGAAGTCGGCCATGACAACTTTTTCCCATCCTCTCGACGTAAAAAAAAAAAAAATTACAAAAAGTCATCATAAAATCCCATGAATAAACGATTCCTCCCGCAGCGTCTAAAGGTCAGCCGGAGGGTTCCGTCGGCCATAAAAAACTGGTGAAAGACCCATTATACCCCAATTAAAAGCACAAGAGGGTGGGTGGGCTGATGGGTGGTGGGTTGTACAGGGTGGAAAAGGTAAATTGGATTTGGCGGGCGCAAAAGCGACACCGAAATTGAATAGCGCGCGCGCACGCGGTTTGTTGTCATGGTTACGCATCCCGATGATGTCCTCTCGCTTGCTCTCGCGGGGAGGACATTTCCCACTGTTGCTGGAGGGGTGGTTGGAAAGGGGGTGGTGGAAGGATGGGAAAATCATCCCTGTATCCAGCCGCATCAGACCGGGCGCGGCACAACCCCGTGAGAGGCGCAGTCGTTGGTCCATCGGCCCCTGGTTGACCCAGGTCGGCAGCTCCTTCCTCGGATAATCCTTGACGTGTCTCTTTACTTGTGCGGGCGGGAAATAAATATCACTTAATAAATAGCCCTCAGCCAACATTAACAGTTCCAATTGTTTTTTATTGTCAGATCGAATGGGACTTGTCGGGAAATTCCTCTTGCAGTGATTAATTTTTTTATGGAAAAGATATTCAACTCCATTTTGTTATAAACTACCGGTTATTTCCGTGATTATTCAAGGGAATTGGTTTTAGTGGTAGTAACTGGGGGATAATTACATTCGAATTTTTTGCAATTCCAAGTTTATGTGACATTTACGGATATTTTTTTTTTTATCTTTTTTTTAAAATCAGGTGGTTATTTTGATCCGCTGGAATTTTCGAGGTGTTGACAGTTCAATCGTGGTGTGATTACGAATTACTATGAACCTCTGGCATTGCCAACTCATCTGTTAATCCTCACCAAAATCTAAAGACTGCTCCACCAAAAATTTCAGTCATAATGTGATCTCAATTTTCGATTCCACGTCAATAAAAAAATGAACTCCCCAAAATTTTCCATTACTTTCTAAAATCAATAAACGATCACAGGGTTCTCCATAAAATTAAATTTTCAATGAATTAAAATACCAGATCAATAATTCCATAAAAATCGTGATTACCTCGGTCAATACCGAGTTCTACAAAAATTACACGTGTTGAAAAAAATCAGGGTAATTTTTTTGCACCTAGTATTGAGCCCGAGAACATGTGTAACAGAAAAAATTTAACGGATATTAAAGTGTGGATTGTATTGGAAGAGAAGGTGCCACCCAAGTGGCATATCAACGTGGGCGAGTGACACGCGTGCCGCGAGGTATAAAATCTCACGGGTACCTGAATTAGTCCCCCACCCGATTAAGATACGTCGTGGATTAACGGTGAAAGGCAGTACTGTACAATTATTTGTGCACTTTGACGTTACCCACCGGTACGTGTTTGCGATTAAAACGGATTTTCATACGAGAGAAATGACTAATTCCAGCGGCAACTCCCTGTCCCGGGCCTGGCTACGTGCCCGTTGCTGTCGGTACACCCGTCACGATCCCAACAACAATCGGAATCATCGGTTTTTCCATCAGGACGATGAGGTAGCATTGAACGAAGAAACTGAGACACTTCTGCATCGTATCGCCTTCACTGTTTGGCATACGGCACTTCACATTGAACGCGAGGTGCGTTTTACGCACGTGCGCGCACTTACTCCTCCACTCTGTCCTTCATTTTCCCTTAATTTTTCCTCTTTCTCTCTTTATCCCGATAGTGATTGCCGCTCTCTTCCCTTGTCCCACGTTTTTTTCATCAATTTCCTTAGGGCTAATCACAATCAGAAATTATTCGATTGGAGAAATAAAATTTGGAAAAATACGTGTTTCTTTTAATTATCATTAAATATTAATGAATATTATTGTATATAAATTATTATGGAATTTTGTATGTCCTTTATTTGAAAAGGCGTTTCGTCATAAATTTCTGTGGTTGGGATTCCAATGGGGTCTATCCAAGTGGCGAAAAAATAATTAAATTGCGAATGATTGTTTTGTTCCATGTTGACGCACCCCTTCGTTAACCTTTTGGCAATTCTGTCACTTTCTAAACTCTCTAATGAGTTCGAAATGAAATCCCGAAGAATTCCTTCAATTTCCATTGTAATTCGATCCTCACATAAATTATCATGAGTAATTACCCCTCCACTCAAACACATCACCTCACCGTCATCTCATCTTCACCTCACGAATTTATGCTTCAAGATATTTTCCAATACACGAAGAGAATTTCTTCACAACAATTCTAGAGCTAAAAAAAATGATAATCTACCCACCACAGAAAATTGTTAAAGTTAAATTTCATTGAAACATTAATTCAATAACGAAACGACAAATCGGAGTCATTGAATTCTGACCATCAGTTACAATTCACTGAAAATCTCGAAATCTACCAAAGATACCTCAATTTCCATAATAACAATTTCTGCAGATCTAACTGAGATCTAAAAAAAATGTAATATCAAAAATGTCTCCATCTCCCGTAGTTTCGGAGATATTTCCAAAAATTCAAAACCAAGTGGATTTTCTTTCGCGAATTTTCGTCGAGACTCTCTTCGTGTTTTGACTTAATGAATTAATGAATTAATATTCTCTGTTATTTTTGTTTCAGCACAATGGCAGCTACGATCACCCCCGCATCACTCCAAAGCCCATCGTCAAACATGTGGTAAATTATGTTAATAATATCAATAAATATTCCATCTTCCGGCTAAATCGCTGGGAAATACTGACGAGAGAGCTTATCGCACCACTGATAAGGCATCCCGTGAACTTCTTCGCCAAACATTTAATATTGAAATAAGCCTCTCAGTGAGAAATTTCCCGCACTTTGTTACTCGTTTAGTTATTCTTTAGGTACCTCTATGTACGTATCTTCTTGGCCTCGGTTGTTACATCACCGAACCGTCGCCACTAGCTTCATTTATTCCGTGAGAAAACACGCCATTCGATGGTGTATTTACATTTCAAACGCGAAAACTATGTCCCCAGTGGCTTGCGGTAAAAATAACTTAGAAAAAACTATTGATGGGATTCCATCAGAAACAATTCTTAATTGATTGAAACTGCGCTAGAAATTTACAAATTTTTAATTACTAATGACCGATAATATCTTCTCAGTAAAAATAGAATTCTCTCTCGTTATTCAACGCCTCAAAAATTTCCACAAGTTTACTAAAAATTTAGAGAGATTTGAGGCCGAATATCCGATTAATTTGGAGAACTGCTCGACTTGCCGTGAAGTTAATTCGATCAGCACCAATGGAATTCCATTTATTGACTCTTACAACACGTAACAATCAACAGTCATTAAAATTCAAGAATGCTCATTGTGTTACGTGCGAAAAAGCCGGCGATTAATATCAGCAGCTGCGGTAGATTGAAAATTTAACATTTCCTCAAAGTGACTGTGCACCATGAAATATTCAAAAGCTGTTAGACTCCCCCCCAAAAAAATCCTAAAAATTGTTGTTACACGGGAAGCTGCGGCGCACCAGTCTCTAAAAATAACATTTATGATGCCATAACCCTGAGTTGCCGTGTGTCCCTGAAGACTGTGCCATTATAGGGCCCCACATATGCAATGAAAAATACACTTTTCTCTCCCGCAAAATTGTACACCCAGTGTTGCACAGTCATAAATCCATTCTACCGTTACACTTCACGTGTGAAATTGCTATTACGTCGACTTACGTCTCCTCTTCAAGTTGTGCGAATCTCTGGCCACCCCCGTATCTACCCACCGGGTGATACCAGACGAGATAAGAATTCCACACTTGCCCCCGAGACATGACGCGAATTCCTCTGAATTACTCTGAATTACCAGAGTCTACCTACCGCTATAAGATGTCGATCATCATGATTTTAGAAAAAAGTTGCTTTTCTCCTAGAGTTTCCCTCTAATCGTCTACGAGGAGATATATAATTGCAATGAAAATTCAATTTTGGAAAAAAATCCGCCATTCGATTCTTTCCAAGTCTTCAATTCTCAATTATCAAAATTATTAAGCTACAATAGGATTTTCTACAAAACGTCCCTGGACATTGAGCGCGAAATACACAAACAAAATATTCATCACTCCAAGTGAATTGAACTTGGAAAGAATATCCTGAATCGTTGCGACCGATCTATGCAAAATGAAAAAAATCAGCAGTAAACCTTGAGTGATGCTGAGGTCATGACAAGAGACTGATTCCATCAGTTGGCAAATCTACAATTCATGCAGCTAGCCTTAACCAGAATGACGACTTGCCCCCGTCCCTGCACCTGACACACGTTAATATATCAGCCGAAAGCCGTGACGAACTAGCCAAGAAGAATAACCAGAGACAGGATGCGAAAAATCGCCTGTTCTACATCGTTGACTCGATTTGCACGCAATTCCAAATGAACCTTTCTTAACGTAAGAACAGAAGCCAATCAGGATGTCAGTCCTCCCTCCTCCTTCATCAGCTGAGGTGAGGCATTTTTTACCTCACCACGTACATCCAGTAGTCCACCGAATGCTCACCAGAATGTCGGAGGATTCGGTTTCGGTGGTTATGAGTGGTTCAACCCTCCGGTGAATTCTCATCATCAGGAAGATGTAACGGTGGTGCTCGTTAGACACGAATTACAGGGGCATTTGATATCGAGTGGGTGCCCTCCGGGTGAGACCCGCCTCAATATGCGGAAGATCCTTCTCGTCAGGATTATCTACGCGCCCACGTACAAGGTTATCTTAATTAACCTACCCCTCCCCCTCGTCGCAATAAAAAATAAAATTCCACCGATAATAAATAAATTTCATTTCACTCCCTCTTCATTATCTAAAATTACCATCTTTTCCATTTTCTCGGTAATATTGAATTAATATTCTCCTCGTTATTTTCAAACAGGTGCACAAAGTATCTTCATCGTCATCTAGAACACCGGGTGTTGGGGCTGATGCCAGCATCACGACTGGTAAACCCGGGCGAGTCAGTGAGGTCATGGAATTGTGCTACGTCACTGAACGAATTATTGCTCTGTGGTACAGAGATGATAGCCAGGGTGTCCTCGAACACGCGACCAATTTGCTTCGGGGAAAACACGCCGATAATTACATGGTCAGTGAGTTAATCTCGTCAACTTCGTGTTCATCTCTTAATGAGCTATTTTCACTTAGCCCGTGATCAATACGTGGAGAGTAATTATTTTTCACTTGCTGAATATACCGTAACTCTCAGAAACCGTGAGTTTATCGTTCCAGCTAAATCAATCGATCTTCACCTATTGCAAGTGAAATTCTAACAAAATTTGCTGCAAATTAATTCTACTCTAAATACAAAATACAGAAACAATTCGTTTATCCACAAGATCTCATGCTCGATAATTGTCATTAACTTGAAATCCTCGACTGAAGTGTCTTTCCCCCCGAGAATAAGAAATGCCTCTCCACGTCGGCTTGAATCACTCGATTCCCCTCGATAGCCCCAGTATCTGATGGCTTTAATCCTGCTTCAGATATTCAATCTGTCAATTCCGGGACGCCAGAGTGAATCAAACACTCGTGAATGCGGTTGGCCCCAGGGTCTAGCCCCAAGTCTGGAGAGACTGTGTGCCCTCTGCAAAGAGCTCGACTCCTGGCTGAACGAAGCGCCCAATCGTGTCGTTGTACTTCACGCAAGGTGATTTTACAATTGCTTAATTACGACCGAGCGAGAGCTAATAACAGAGTATAATTGAGTACTTTCAACTGTCTAATTTCCATTTGGATTTAAATACTTTTGTGGTACAGGGGTGGAAAGGAGCGGCTGGGCGTTGCCGTGTCAGCGTACATGAACTACAGCAGCATATGTGGTGGACGTGATCAAGCACTCGATAGATACGCAATGCGGAGATTTCTGGATGACAAAATCGGTGCCCTGAGAGTACCCTCCCATCGCAGGTGCGTTACCAATCCATTAACATCCTTAATTTTTTCTTTCCCTTGATTTTCAACATTAATCATTATCAGTGAATCTTCTCGCTGACAACGTGGGCGAGGATTTAAATCAGAGTAGCATTGGTTGATTGGTACTTGCATGCGAATAATGACCGTAATGACACAGTAATTGACCGAAATAATGTGCTCTGCTTCGGCTTCTCGACTTCGTTGAAGAACCCGTTTTCCCAGTGGGTGATCTCCTGATTATGAGAATTAAATGATAAAATTGCGTGTTTATTTTTTATTTTTATTCTCCGAGAGGAAATCTAGAGATTCCATCGTAATTGGAAATACTGCTTGAGCATTGATTGGCAATTGAGATTATTTGTTTATTTGCATTTATATATTTTCGTTTTTTTTTCTTCTTTTGGTAGATATATTGAGTACTTCAGTGGTCTTTTATCGGGATCATTGAGAATTAATCCGTCGCCACTCTATCTGACTCATGTCACTGTACTTGGTGTACCTCTGTTCGAGCCAACTGGTTGTCGGGCCTTTCTCAAAGTCTATGAGGGCTTTACACCGGTCTACACCTCTGATCTTTATTCGGTGACCAATGCCCGAGAGTTTACAGTCAATCTCGGTGGATTGAGATTGCGAGGGGATATTCTGGTGAAGTGTTATCACAGGGTTTACTCCAAGCAGAGTAGGGAAGCTATGTTTTCCCTGCAGGTAAAATTTTTTAACGTTTTTATTTTTTCGCATACACTAGAATGAGAATCAATCAGTTAATTATAATTTAAGGAGACAATTGATAGATATAATGAACTGCTCTTGGCATTCTCGGAATAATTTAGATAGTTGAGAGTATCATGAAAACGGTATTCAAACGATCGTTATTTTTCAGTTCCACACGTGTGTCATAACGGAAAACGTTGTCAGCTTTCCTCGATCGGAGCTCGACATAGCATGTGACGATCCACGATGTCCATCAGACAGTGTCGTGACGTTGTACTTCTCGAGCGATGCTAAACGTCTAGATGGTCCAGTACCAGCACCCACACCCGCTGTTCCCCATGCATCCGCACATCACGATCCCATTCTTCACTGGGACAGCTACAGCAACCTGGAGATCAGCGACGATGGTAAGTCAATTTTCACACAACTTCAGTAATCCCAGAAATTACGGGAGCCCCCCCCCCCTCCCCCCAAAAAAAAAGAATTCAAACGCGGCGTCAATTTTCCTCCAAGTGCATCACTTGCGTCACGTTGGAAATGACTGGGAATCGAGTGGGTTTTCGCCTCGAGTTCAGCACATTTTTGGATGATGTATTTTTAGCGATACGCTTGGGAATAATTTCGAAATTTTTATTTAATTGGTTCGGAGTATCTCGCGCATTGGGGTCACGTCAATTTCGAATGCATTATTCCTCCATTCGATTTTCCAGTATTCTCATCTATTCCCGTACTCTCTATTTTCGTTCTTCTGTGTAACCGCAATACAGGCGAATTAAACCTAAAATCATATTACCAGGAGGTAAATCTCTAGGTGGTTTGTCTGGCTTTGAGTTTTTTCTTATTTTTTTAGACTTTTTTTTTTGTAAAGATGGGGTAGTGGGGAATTGGTGAGGGTTATTCTCGGCAACTAGGCGCCTCTGTTGCACCAGTGTGGAGGGGAAAATGCGTAGTCCCACAGCTTTTGCGAGTTTTCAAAGCCCGTCAGTCTGTCCCAGCGATGGTTTCAGGTCAGAGAGATCGAGAAGCAAGATAATTCGTTGCTAATTCAATCGAAAAGAGAAAAACACTGGGAAAAGTAAATTAATGAATTGTGGTAGTGATTTGTTGGGTTTGCTCATCCACGAGCTGAGATAATTGAAAAATTGAAACAATTTTCTCCGGTAAGTAGATAAACGCTTGATATTATCCTCAAGGAGATTGCGTATCTCTTCTCTCCCTCTCGACTCTTTCAGCTGCAACAGTGATTTCAATCCAAAAATGGTAGCGATCCCGTTTTGTCAACTGCCGTTACGCCGGGAAAGTTTAGATTTTTACCCCTTTTTTCATTTACTTTATTTATTTCACTCACTGAGGAATCCGTTGAGCGGTGAACTTGTTAATTCTCTGGGAAAACAACGGGCTTACCACGACGATTTTCCGTTCGTATCGAAAATATCGCGAGCAATTCATTTGCTTTATCCCCTCCGGAAGAAACAAAAACTGAAATTCGCGGTAACACTGAATAGAAAAAGTAACGAGAGGATAAAACAATAGTGATGCAATCGGAGAGTGCAGGTGATAAACAAAGGGCGGCCCTCAATCATTCACGTTCTGAATAATCCGAATAATAAAAACAGAGTTGTATTTCAGTTTTAAATGGAAAACAAACAGAACTCCCGGTGTCTCATCTTCTCCCAAGATTGAAAATAAACAGTTTCTGGGATTTTTCACTGGGTATGGGGCAATTTCAGTCTTTGCCTTAGGGGCTGATGACCAACTTTTTCCACTTTATCCTCATCCTCTTCAGACCGTTGAAAATGAGGAGTGGTTACGCATGAACGATCGTTCATACTACGGTACTGAGAATAGGTAGCCAGAAGTTACCAGTGGGTAACACGTGGTGGCACTCCCCAAAGTACCTACAATTTTCAACGTCATCCGCTACGTCGTCGCTCCTCGATTATCCAGTGTTAATCGCAAATCCATACGTCATGATACCACCCACATTTATCAAGCGTCCGTTATTACTGACCTCTCCAAATACGGATTCCCAGGGTTTGTGTGGCATCAATCTTGCCTCTTGGAAGTTTACATCGATTTAATCGTGTGTATACACTATTAAAATCCAATCAAGGGTTGTTATTCCACATTTGTCATTCCTTTTCCGTTAAAGTCATTCCTCCCCTTCTTCTCCAGCCTCCACATCAAAATCAAGACCAAATTATGGACTTTAAATCGTGTAGGTACACGTCGTAATTTATTCAGAGCATTATTCACCGCATAATGCTGTCATTTTTCCTGTTTCTATTTTATTTTGTTTGTATCCTATTTTGAGATTAGGCATACGCCATTTGTGGGTGATTGAAATTCAATTCTAGAATCTCAGGAAAATAATGATTCCTTTCCTTTGAGAAAGTGAATTTTCACTTATTTTGTGATTCCAGAGAACGCTCGTAAGATTGAAGTACACATTCTTGGAAATCAAATATCCCAATCTTGAAATAGAAAACAATGACCAATTGAATAAAAAAAAATGTGCTAAGCGTTAAAAACGATAGATTCTCATTTTTTCCATTTCCGTGATTTACAGAAAAAATTTTGAGAGTAATAATTAAAATGATGAGTTCAAGGGAACTCATTGATTTTCAGTAAAAAAATCGATTCAATCGAATTCAATTGAATTCTGTTCACTTCAATATTTTTTCTCGTTGGGATGTTGGAGATAAACATTTATCCCACGTCGCCCCTTAAATTTTTAATTTCAACCAATATCTCTATCCATTCCAACCCCTCACGAAAGCCACTGTGCCAAATTGCAGGTGTGAAAAGGTGTTGCCACCAATCCTGAGTTTATATCCGTCCCCAAGACGAAATTCACGTACGTGTGTCCACCCACAAGATGTAGGCATGCCACTGGCTTTCCAATGCTCACTCGGAAGTACCACCGTCTTGATCCCTTAGCGAGATTCACCGACTGCCAACCGTAATTCTCATGAATAATTCACAACCCAAAGGCTGTCTCTATTCCCCAGGGATCGATCTCCCACGAAAATTCGTGATGACAATGCCCAATGCCCTTTATCAGCTAGAACTCTCAAAATCTCAAGACCCCGTGATACGCTGACGATAAAATAAAAAAATAAAAAAATCCGTGGCAAATATTTGCCTAGAATTCCAGCGACTTTCCTCCAGATATGAATAACCCATCTATTTTCGTTGCCTCGCGAGTAAGAATATTTTTTCTTCTCATTTAAACCCGAGGAGAATAAAGAGGGCTTACACCTACGCGCCGACCATTGAAGACTGGGCAATCCAATCGCGAGTTTGTCTCCTCAGGGCAAAACCTCTAAATATCTTGTCGCCCATTTGGACATTGGAGATATCGCCGTGTCCGGCAATGATCGTTGAAGCTAACTGAGAGTTGGCCAGAGGTTTGCCGTAGAAGGACTGGCGACTGGCGACTGGCGGCCGGTTCAACTTGTAAAAGACAGGAGAGATTTCCCTCTCCTCGTGTCTCCCTTCATCTCTGTTTATCTCTTCTGTACGTACCCCAGGTTAACTGTAAAATATCGTGAAGGGTGATGGAGGGTTGAGGAGGGGAAAATTACCAAGTGCAATAAAAATTAACAATCCAGGAAGTCAATTGTCTGGTGATGCTGGTCCAGGCTTCAAGAATAGCTCGAGTCATAATTAAATGAATTATTTGTTTGCATCGGTTGGATGTGTGCTCCTTGGGCACTTGAAGTGCTTGCGTAGGAAGTCTCACGCCCAATGACCATCATTTATCGAGTTGCTGTTTTTTGAGTGGTGGTGGTACGCGAATGTGAGCCAAACGTATCTCGATTGTGAGCAGTGTCGTTCCTGCTGTCTCACCGAGTGCCTCGTCACTCTCATTCCCACGGAATTCTTATGAGTGATTATTGACCACAAGTGAGACAAATTAGAGTTGTTCTCCTGGTGGTGTCAAACCAGTTGATATCAGTGAATTGAGATGGTCAGCAGATTATTCATCGATTTATTAACAATCTGAATTTTTTGGGCATCATCCAGCGGGACTAGGGGTCATTATCGAGGCATTATCCATCACGTCAAATTTTCTTGTGAGTATGAGGGCCCTCCTATTTCACACATTTTCACGCATTTTCACACATTTTCACACTTTTTTATACATTTTCTGTGTCGATGCACTCACACATACGCAAAGTAACAAAAAAATTGTCCCTCATGAATCTCTATAAGGCCCCCGCCGTTAAACTGGTATAATTCGATCAGTCCCTCTTCGCCTTCACCTCGTTTCTCCCCTCAGTCCTTTTATTTGACCATTTTTTTTTTTTATATCATTCTCCCCCTTTTATGTACCGATTCACCTCGCCGATGACCTTCGATTGAAAGGATAAATAGCCTAGCTTCTTTAGCATCACTTCATCTCGGAAAAATCAAGTACTTTGACTTTTTTTTTCCTCATCATCATCAGTTAACAGCCGCGACAATCTCCGAACCGATCATAAATTATACCAGTGAATTCTTCCAGCTAGAAAGACTCGTTTTCCACTGATAAAACGTGGACGATAAATCGGGGAGTGGAACGAGTGGGTAATCATATCGATGTGCCATTGGGAAATGAGGAAATTTTTTTTCTAATTTCCATTTGCCGTTAATCATTGAAATGAGAGAGTGAAAAGTCATGAGATAAAAAAAATAGGCAGATCGGAGAAAAGGGAAGATAGGGCAGAAAGGGTAGATAGGATAGATAGGGCAGAAAAAGCAGAAAGGAAAAGACCAGTGGTCCTGGATGGTGTAGCAGTATCTCAGTGCAGAGATCGATAAAATTGGCGCGATTCGTGAGCAAGGATTAGCCAGAGGGCGAAGCCCGTGTATCGGCATCGGGTATCTTCTAACGGCGTTGGTCTTTCGTTGAAACTTTTGCAGCTGCAACATTGCAACTTGCCCCTCTCCAGAGGTCTTCCTCCACCACCTCGTGTCGCACCGAGATAAGGCGCACTCGAGTCCATTGGCGGAGGCAACCCAAGGAATTTGCATTAGCCGTCTTCAAAGAACAATTCCTAGAGTCCACCAGAGATCCAGAGTCTATGGCATTCCACTTAATTAGTCTCATTCATCCATTAATTCCAAGTGTTTGGGTTTGCTGAGGGATTAACCATTGCCACGACCTCATTGCTCAATGATCGAGCGATATTATTAATTAATCATCACAATATTCGCAATTCCATGAAGTTTATTAAAACAATTGTTGATAATACTCAGTTGGATCCATCGACACGCGCTTCCAACGTTCGTTGAATTTTGATGATGGTAAAATCACCGGTATCACGTATCGTCCTGCTGTTGATTGCACCTTCGTGATGTTATTGTATAATCCTGTTGGGATTGGAAAATATTGGCGAGGGGAATGGGCAGTGCTGGTTGAGATGAGAGGGGAACCAGTCATGAATCAGTACAATGGCATTATAATCATTCAAACTCCGGTGGAGGTCGGTAGTTCCACGCAAATCGCCTGTGCTGACTGCACACCACGAGGACGTCAGAAGGCTAATGGCAAAAGTGCCGCCGGGATCGTTTTACCACCAGCCACTTTGCTTTACTCTCCAGTCATCCCACTTTTTACCCTTATTCTCTCCTCTTTAAAATACTCCTCCCCACCCTCTCTTCGTCTTCCTCCCCCTCCTCAAACCTCCCCACCCTCCCCGCCTCTTTCTCAACCGTATTTTTATGCACTTCTTGCTCCAGTAAAAATACCAGAGAGCACCGCCACTTTTCTCCGTTTCATCTCTCTGTCAAGCACTTATTAGCGGAATTACGTTGTAATGATCGGTGGCCACACATGATCATCCTGTGTGTGTTTTTTTTTCTTTCGGGCATGAGTGTCCCTTTAATTACGCGGAAAAATCATTGGACTAGATGATTAATTATCGTGGTGTCTCGGTGTTCCTTGCATTCCCAGAATGACGAGTGATAATTACCAATAAAACGTGATACGTCGGGTACTAACTAGAGAAAGACGGTGAAAGTGGGTGGAGGTTGAGGAGTTAAACGACGTGTGAGGTTTTATCGTGATAAGATCGATGATCGACGGGGAAATACGGAATACGCGATTTTTTATTTTTGGTATTGGGAACCTCCTGGCACTCCCTTATTTCTCGTGGGGATCGATAGGCTCTCGAATAGGTTTTGCGGTGGGTATTAATTTGAATGGGGCTTATTCGAATGGTTATGAGGTAACCGCAACAATTGATGGAGATTTTAGAGCGTCGTTTGGTGTTTATGGCGCGGGATAGATGACTGTCATTATCTCGCGATCATTATTGTTTGGGTGTTTTCATTGCAAATCGCGAGGGGGTGCCGCTCGCGATTGTTTTTTTATTTTAATGTGAAGCGGTTCCTTTCACCTTTTGCTGTTTAAACATATGGTAAATTAATAAACTCCGGTTTTATACGTCATTATCGATAACAACCTTGACCAGTTTTTTTTATTCTCATCTATGATTGCACTTGAACATCCGAGCTTTTGGAAATGAGCAAACTGCATTTTTTTTTTAATTAAAAATTTGGCAAATCCACTCGATTTATATATAATTGATTTAAACGGATTATTTATGAATGATTTAATTAATGGTGAGAGATATAATTGCGGGGAGTTGATTATTATGTAAAAATGAATTTCTAGAAGGAAGGGATACACCCCTGTCACCTCCACCACCATCGAGCTCATCGGTGCAAACGTCACCTCGGGGATTGGGCTACACCTGTGGACCCATTGATGGCTCCCTATACGCTGTTGTTCATCAGGGCGCAGGCGGTGCTGCTCGCGGTTCACCGCTGACAGTTTCCATGGACAGTGGTATCAGCAGTGCACCACCACAGCGACCCAGTCCCCCGGAGGCAGAGCCCGATAGTCCTCACAGTGATCTTGACAAACTTCTTCACGACATGATGATGACAGTGGAGGTGAGCTATCCTCAGGCTTTTTTTTTAATTTTCCTTATCGTTTAATTGCCGGATGTTGCTGACGAGGCGTCAAAGTACCAATTGGTCACGCCCAATTGGCGCAGCGTGTGGGCAGTTGCTGAATGTGTCTTAATGAACTTTGCAGTCGATGCCAGATCCACCGAGTGATTACAATCGAATCAACAGTCGCGGGGATAAAATGTACATCAACGAGACACGAAGCTACAGCAGTAATCCAACATCGAATTATTCTACTCTCAAGGATTCGTGCAGGAGTTATGGTGGCACTAGGGAATCGTCACCACCGTATGCATCATCGAGCAATTATGGTACACTTAAAAATGAATCCAAGAGCAATCACGATGATTCCTCGAAGAAGTCATTCTCACCTGGGGGTCATATCGATTTTATCGATGAGGATATACCATATCATGCGAGGCAGACCAGTCAGCCCTTCAGTTATGGCGCAACTACGGATATGATTAAGCATCAGAAACTCTCATCCCCTTCACTCGTTAGGAAGGCGGTTATGAGGGGGACAGCGCCCATTGTCGATTTGGATGACCTCCTGGGGGAGAATAGGGGAATCAATGGACCTGTATCACCTGCACCTGAACCACCACCGGAATTTGCTAATGGGGCCAAGACTAATGCTGATCATGTTGATGGGTGAGTTAGACTTCTTTTTTTATTTTTTTTAATAAAAAATATAGAAATTTCGGGAATTGAGACGGAATTTTTCAGATAATTTCTTTACATCGTATTTCGATTGTTCAAGAGAAACTCAATAGAGTTATGAATTATTTATGAATTTGAAATACATTTATGGAAATTTTTCGGTAACTTTCATTTTTTGTTGACGTGAGATAAAATTTCTAATTGACGTCTCGAAATTTAAAAATGTCGGACAGATTTTTGTGGGAATAATTTTCTAGAAAATTGCGTTAAATCATTTCACTCTCAAGATATTTAGCAAATATGAGAGATTTGATTCCTGCGGACATGTACGACAAGAATCATATGTTCTATAATTCTCCCAGTGTCCTCCGGGTTTTTCCTCTAGTACTTTCAGTCGTTTTGTGCTGTCTCTCGGTCTAATACCCATCATCCATCACCTCACCGTCGTCGCAGGCATGAAAATAAAGAAAAATAAAGGAAAATAAGTGGAAAAAAAAATGGTAATAAAAAAGATCTTTCGACATAGCCAGCCGAATTGGGCGCCGCAAAGCCTGGGATTTAAACTTGCCAAAAGAAAAAAATACAGCGCACTCCGATGAAATTAATAAATCGTCCCGTGAGAAGGTACACTGGGTACGATTACGGCATTGTTGGATTGCATTTCTGTCGGGCGGTGTCAGGAATGGTAAATGCGGTCGTACGTGACTCACTGCGGGTACGATCAGAGAAACTCGAGACGTTCGATTCATTTTCATTTTATTTTTCATCCCCAGAATATAAAATTCGATAAAATTTCATCAGTACAACTCGATTATTCCGTGTGTAAGTAATCGAGAGTGACACGAATATCTAATAAATTTCAAGCTGTTCTAGGGGAAATAAATTGAATGTGAAATAATTTTTTAACGTAAAAATGAGAAACATTGAGGGCCACGATGACAGACAACTCGTTTCTCACTGGCTACGTCCACTCCAATCACTTCGCCACTCAAACTTTCTCCATTAATTCAATTTATCCTTCAATTCGATCCACTGTAACTGAGAGACATAATAAAAACACTTAAATCCCCGGGGGTTTTCCCTCCGGGATCCCTCGGATTTTCTCAGGTTGATGATCGAGTTAGTCACTCTCATGTTATTTCTAGACATTCAGCGTCATCCTCTGACATAATTTCAAATATAGAACAGTCTTGCGACTTCAGGAATTGGTGGGGAAATCTCATGTTTCCACAAGTTTTTCATTGCTGGTGCATGAATGCTGTCTTTAATCATTTCCAACTCACAGCAACTCCTACGATTTCATTTCATGTGAATTATTCCATCGATTACACAATCAGTCGTTATCTTTAGCATTTAGATTACTAAATTTGATTTTTGGAAATTAAATCGAGATTTGAAAGTCCTCAACACCAATTCCGCGTGAATTCAGCGAAGAGATTAATTATTGAATAATATATTAGCAATTATTATAATGATTTATCAATGATTTATGGGAAATATTGAAAAATTTTAATTGAATGGTGAAATAATTTGAGGATATCGTCATGAACGATCGATATGGCGTTCTGTCGCAACGAAAATGACGAATGCTTCAATTCATTACGAATTCGAATGATTAAGTTCTGATGCTAAATGCGGATCCTAAAAAAACTCGGACAGGCGTCAGTGTTACAGTTGGCGTTGGTGCGAGGGACGCACGTGGGTCGTGTTTCCCCAGTGGTTCTGGGTTTTGGGTTCGTTACCGATCTGGGTTACAACCACTCACGCGATTACCAGTAACAACTGAGTAATGAGGGTAACCAGAGGTAGATTGGCAGCAATCCCCCAAAAAATGAGTTCTCATTATCCCAAAAGGGAATCGACATAAATCGAAAAATTTTGAAATCATCTTCCGCCAAAATAATGTCCTCCAATTAATTCATCGAAACGATTTACAATCAAATTTTTCTAATAATCATTATAATTATTATCCCTCATTGATTGAAATTAATTTAATTGTTTAAATATCAATTCTTCGGAATTAAACAATCAGTTTATTCAATTGCAATAAATTTTTTTCCTTTTCGATAAATTGAATTAATTTTTATTGGAAGAAATAGAGCGATTTATTGATTTGTAATGATTTTATTGAAGTAAAGACGGAAATGGTGATAAGGATATCGATTTGATTGCTATTAGCAATTTTTCTCAGCAAACTGGGGGATTGATTTTTTGAGATGATCATTGGGTTATTTCCTGGGATAACTCCTGGTGTACGTAGCACGTATGGCCAGTACTCCTTGGGAAAGTCCAAGCCCCCAGTGACCCCCCATGATCGAGCGGAATCTAATTGCGATCCTCATCCAACATCGTGATTCTAATATTATTATTATCGGTTTTGTTATGCTCGGTTGTTTAGACTCTCGTGGTTGAGACAACAGCAGCTTAAGCTGGCTGCACGAAGGGACGAGAGGAGTCCAGGAAAAATATGGCGCCAAGAAACTGGTAATCGTGTTATCGGTGAACTCAGAAGCCTCCAGAGAAACCGAGTGAGGCAGGACGGTTACGCCAGTGATTCAGCTGTGCTGGATGACGACGATGATATATGGATACCGAGTTCCGTGGTCTCTCAGGTGAAATATCACAGCAGTTGGCTGTCTACCGGCATTGTAACAATACTTATTTTATTTTTTACTCATTTATTTTCATCCAGACAACGAGGGCTGCACCTCACACATCAGCTCCAGCGAGTCCCCTTTTACCTCAACGATCCACCAGTCGTAAATTCAATGGATCAATGAATGGCACAATACGACCAAGAGCTGAGAGTGTAAACGAACGGCCATTCGTTTCCGTCAAAAGAGCTTACGAGTTCCGGAAATACAGTGACAGTCAGGTAGGGCAGCAAAAAATTGAGAATTTGTGCCAGAGGATGTTGGCTATTTTAGAGTTGTGTTATAATAGCAGTTTAAATAATTCCGGGAGAGTTATTACCTGACGACGGTGGATTCATAAATTTAGACGTGTTCATAAACATTTTAACCCCATCGTAATGAGGCCATTAATATATATTACACGATTTGTTCCATCATCGTAGATTCCTTCATTGCTATTAAAAGTTAGCTCGTTTAGCGCTGTTAGAAAGATTCAGAGAGACCTGGCCACCTAAAAAATTGGGGAGAAATAAAGGGGAGTCCCAGTGGGTCAATTCGATCTTTTGGGGATCTTCAGTTTTTTCTCGAATTTATGAAAAATCATTGAGAGGTCTTTCTTGAGGTTCAGCGAATTTTCTAACAGTGCAGATTAGATACCTTTTTTTTGAGCATGAGCTGATTCGCTTTACAGAGTCCTCCACCATCCCCGCACGCGTCACCACCGCTACTAGCTGCTCTTGCCATTCAGCCACAATCACTAGGTGAGAAGAATCAGCCACCGAGGCCAGAGTCCAGGAGTGATAGCTATGCAAGGGCCGAAATGCTGATGAGAGAGCATCGATTCAATGGATTTACAAATTCGTTGAACGGTGTTACTGATAATAATAATAAAACACATGTTAACAATAATGTATATCCACGGAGCAATCGGGTAACATATGCCGATAAAGTTTACGAGTTTGATGGAGGTGTTGATAAGGATCGGGATGTCGTGGACTTGGGGTTACTGGCTGTTGTTGATAAGCGTAAGGATCAGGATTGTGATCCACTTGCCAGCCTAATTGAGTCACTCGCGGATTTGTCACACGCACGAATAGACACCATTAACAAGGATAATCAGCTTAATGTGAATCATCATGGTAGGGATTTATCATCCAACAACAACGATGTCATCAACACTGACACTAACAGTACCCCTAATCAGTCACCAAAAGCATGGCAGTTTAGTGTACAGGTTTGTTCATCGCACGCTTTGCATAATTTTCTTTTTTTATTTCCACCAAATGCCAGGTCTTCGGCAGAAATCTGTCATTTTTTTATGCTATTTGGGAGTGACGTGGGGGAACGAGATGTCAAGCAGTCGAATTTCGATTATCAATTTAAAATCTGAAAAAATATTTTTAAAATACTCGAATCCAACTGTTTATAAAACTGGAAATTTTCCCTTCTTTTGAGATTATTTTTTCATGATTGATTTAGAGGAAAGAAAAAAACAAATATTTGTAGAAAATTTATTGTAGCGGATGGCTTCGTCTCATTCTCTCATTTCACTACCAAATTCACTTCCTAGAACATTGAACAAGGAATAAATGGCCCTGTCATTCTGTCTGAATAGTCCCAACACGATTCACCGACATCGTGGACAGATAGGAGCATCAGTCCTGCCAGCGCTGGAATAGGTAACGCATCGAGACCACAGACTCCAGCATTTCCGGTACATCCCCGCACCCCCTACGTCAACAATTCATCGCCAACAGTGACATTCGCCGCTGATCGCACGTACGGATCAACCAACAATTTCAACGAATCAACCAACTACACCGCGCATAACAACAATGTACATAACTTTGAGAATGGGAATAATAATATCAATAATCGAGATTACACTGGGGAACGAGCTGTTTACATCGAGGAGAGACGAGATGTTAGGGAGACGGGACTCCCTCCCAAGAGTCCGACAACACAGCGGTAAGAAATTTTATAATTTTCTCATAATTATTCAACAATCGATAATTCGGAGTCCAAGAGTAGAATAATTCCCCTGAATTTCTCACCGCTTAACTCGGATTTCCCTCATATCATTTCTTTTTCCCTTACATCGTCCTATCAATCATAAATTAATAAATAGTAAACAGAGAAGAAACGTGAGAGAAATTTTGGACCAATTTCTTGTTAAAGCATATAGGGAAATATTAATTCGGAACATTTTGTAGAGAATTTAATGAGTTACAAAAAGTTTCCTGTGATTCTCTCCCTAAATCCATCTGTTCCTGAGATATTTGTTTAAAAACTGGGGATCGAGTTGTTCCCTGTTCCTTCGCACCTGAAATAAATCCCTGTCTTGTAACAATCGGATTCCTTCTTCGATTCCAGAAATACAATGATTTATTTTTAAATGTTTAGACGTTTGAGTTTTCCGGCAAGCGGTTCGCTTAAACAAACTCATAACAAACGATGGCCACTCACTAATCAATCGGCGTCGTTCGACTATAGGTAAAGCAATGTTTAAGCAAGTGTTGCAAGAATTTTTTTGTTGGAAAGAGTGTGTAACTGTGTCAGTCTCGTGACGCATGAATATTTGTCAGCACCTGTTACTGTGATAATAATACAATTTCAATGTCTCATACGAATAATCTCGAGAATTTAATACCATCGACTGTAAATATAACATTGCAAGAGGTATAATAAATAGGTTCCATCAATGACTAATTATCTGAATAGTTGGCTGTCTCGATAATCAGTGGTTCTGCAAAATAAACCCAAATATTAAATTAATTCTGTTGTAACTCCAATAACTGGAATTTTAACTTTATTATTAATAATAAAAATGTAAATGCAACAATTCATTACCTCATGAACTAAAATGATATTATCTGATACAATTTTTAAAACATTTACATTTTTCATTTATTTATTAAACAGAGAGAGAATATCTCGCCATTTTGACAGATACCACCATTTCCCGAGATGATCGGAGCGTTAATTAATTATTTTAACAGATGTACAATTCCATTTATCGCGTTGACAATGTAAAACTCGTTCGACTCGTCGACTAATCCAGAAATTGACTGAAATCATGAAAAATGTACAGCACACATGCACGGATAGCACCAGCACTTACTGTTTTCCCTTAATCTCATGATTATCTGTTGAAATTCATGAACATTGCAGCAAGGACCGACCCGTCTCGCCGACGAACGAAATAATAACTCACACGATTACTCGAAGCCCGGGAACACCGAATCACGTAGAATTCGCCCAGAGTCCCAAGGTAATTGGAGATAATTATGTGTCTCCTGAAATACTCCAGTCGATTTGTTCTCGTCTGTTTCATTTGTTAATTGAACATTTCGAATAATTTCAGAGTGCCACATCATACACATCGATAAACAGTGGAGGACACTCATCTCCGCATATTCAGCAATATGGATCGAGAAGATCGAGCATCCATTCGAATACAGAGACACAGGAAGTGGCTGATGTCAACGTTAAATTTGTCCGCGACACAAGTAAAATTTGGTACAAGCCTAATATCACTAGAGAGCAAGGTAAATCCGTGAATATCATTATTGAATATTGAATATTTTTTAATATACCAGTACTCAATTCCTTTTCCAATTCGAATGTATTCTTCCAGCCATAGCAATGCTGAAAGATGCAGCTCCAGGTACTTTCGTCGTACGTGACTCAAATTCCTTCCCAGGGGCATTTGGTCTAGCTTTGAAAGTGGCAACACCACCCCCTGGTGCACCCAGCAGTCCCAAAGATCCATCGAGTGAGCTCGTCCGTCACTTCTTGATCGAGCCAACATCGAGAGGAGTGAGACTAAAAGGATGTGCAAATGAACCAGTTTTCAGTTCTCTATCTGCACTAGTTTATCAGCACAGTCTCATGGCGATGGCTCTTCCCTGTCAGTTATTGTTACCTGAGGCTGATGCTGCTGCTAGAGCCCTCGATTCCCCTGGCACAAGCAGTACACAACAGCTTTTGGCTCAGGGTGCAGGTAAATTCATTCACGAGAGAATTCATTTTCGCTGGCGCAATCGCAAGGATTTCAGTTTTATTTGAACTTTTTTATTTTTTTGTCTAGCCTGCAATGTTCTGTATCTTTTTACTATTGATACTGAATCCCTAACGGGTCCTCAAGCCGTCAGAAAAGCAGTCACAACTTTGTTTGACCAGAAACCACTACCATCAGCCACAATCGTCCACTTCAAAGTTTCCACTCAAGGGATTACTCTCACCGACAACGCTCGAAAACTCTTCTTCCGTCGCCATTATCCGACGAATAACATCAGCTACTGTGGCCTCGATGCCGATGAAAGGACCTGGGAGTTCATCAGCGAGGACACAGGCAAAGCCCTCAGTGCACAGTAAGTTAACCCATTCAATTACCTTAATAATCCATTAACTTGAGATTACCTAGTACTCCAATAACTTAACAATTAATTTCTCGTTTTTTGGAATTTACTTTTGTCGATTTATCTTGAGAATTGAGAGTCTGAGAGGAAATTTTACTGAACCTTTTTTAAAGATCCGAAAATTTTGAGTAAAAAATGTCGAATAATATTTTTTGATGAGTGATTGATTATCGAGATAATTCCGCATAATAAAATTTGGCGATTTCAATTTTTTATTTTTTATTATTCCAGTCGCTGTTTTGGTTTTGTGGCGAGAAAACCAGCTCACAAGACCGACAATCAGTGTCACGTTTTCGCTGAACTAGAGCCAGGCCAACCAGCAACAGCAATTGTCAATTTCGTCAACAAAGTAATGATGGGAAGTTCAGTAATTAAAGCAAATATCGTCTAACCCGATTGCTTCAACGACATCACTTCAGAAAAGTGCAGTCAGTGTTTAAAAAAGTAAATGGAAATTCTGTCAAATTCCCTTGCAGATCGATACCTCTTAATGGGGCCTTATGATCGATTAATAATGCCCAGAGAAATCTAAAGATGATTTTAAAAAACTAAAAACGATCAACAGCATCTTTCGTTTTTCCACACTAATTATATGGAATTAGTTCGAAGCGTTAAATCGAGTTTAAAATCAAACCTAGTTTTTCAAAGAAATTAATGCATGTTGCATGATTGTTAAAAAAAAAACCAATCGTATATGGAAATAACGTGTGTTATATTCACAAGAGAACCTTCGTCGTATTCTACAACTAAATAGATGTACGAATAAACAATTGTTTATAACTGTAAATAACAACTAAGGCCTTAGAAACGAAAAGAGAGTCTATGAAGATTAAGAAAGTAGAGATAGACAAACCGTAATTAATGAAAAGGTGTTGATTAACAGAATGTGGGCGGAAAGCAGCGATGATAACCGTGACGTTCCGCGGTTCTGGGAATCTTTCCCCTGGACAGAATGATAAACGAAAATTCCAGAGTCAAATCTCTCGAATACATAATATATTATAAATCAATAATGTCAGAAAAAATTAAAAAAAGAAACAATCCATTTTGTCGTCGGGAAATAATTCCAACTACCGTGTACCACGAGTTGGTTTACGAAAATATTAAATTGAGTATCACTGGACTCATTCGATTCTTGCCACTGGTTTATTAAATTTCAATTACGTGGGCCTATCCAAGTCAGTCAATTATTAATGAAGTCTTCATGAATTACTGTTGATAAATCATTGATTAATCGTAATCAATGGATTAATTTAAATTCAGTCAAGTGCTGAGAGAAAAAAATGAATAAAACGATACGTGGAAAAATAATTTAAGTGGATTATCAATGGAAGTTAATTGATAAACATATTCAACCTGTTGTTAACGGAATCATCGAATCGAATGAAAGATGAATGTGCGGTCCTTTGTTTATGTGTCACACAAGTGCTAGTCAAAATTCCATCTACATCCGAGGGTTGGTTAATCTGTCCCTAGGGCCTAAAATCGTGTCTTACCGAGGAAAAAGTAATCTCTACCGATGTTTTATTAGAATGTAACTAAACAATCGAAAAATTCACGCTCTCCCCTCCCTCATTCCAAAACCATCTATTTAATTAATATATGAATTTTTAATTTTATTTTTACCAATTGAGTACCGACTAACATTAATTATGTACACAGATTTATCGCAATCAGTCATTATTATTACTCGTTCTGATCGATTAATTAATTATACATTGATGAATATGATTTATGTATGTTTAATAAGTAATATTGTATGATTGTATTGTTAAAATGTTGAGGATAGTGGATGTAATAATAAAGTATATTCATGCTAATAACAGAAATTCTAGGTCTTTGTGTTGTAAATTTACTCCTTGCATATTTTCCAAATGTAGAGAGACAATTTCTCAATTTATAATTAACACAAACACTGCTTTTCATTTCTCTAAATATCTGTTGATAAACTCCAGATGAACGTCAGACGAATCAGTTTTCACTCAATTTCTCTTTGATGCAATCAAAAAAAAAATTAAATTCTGTTAAATTGAGATGAATTATTTCGAATACTTCTTTGGATTAAATTAAATTCATCCAATCAATTAATTTTTCATTAATTTAATTCTCTGATATTCCCCGATATTTATTTATTTAAGAATTCCGCTAAAAAATCACCTTAATCCTAAATTCCCGGAGAATTGCAATTCGTTACGAATTGAAGACGTTTTTTGCGAGTCAAGGACATCACCGAGCAGCCTAACGGAAATTGCACTGACCTACTGGGAGTCTGTCCAGGTGAACGGATACGGCGTACCAGAGGCCCCGAGTGTAATCCTCCCATGATGAATCCACCGAGACCTGCAAACCCCTCATCCCCCGAGAGATCCCAGAGCACCCCGAAATTGAAACCGATATTCACTTTGTTCCATTTCCTCTCCTATTAAACTCCCGTTACACCAAACTGGTTTATCCCCAACAAGTACCGAAAATCCAGGAAGTTGATTGCCACAGACAATTCACCTGTGACAAATGACTTCCAAGTAAATGGCTGGTACCAAGTGAAAGACTTGCACCAAACAATTAGTCGTCTATGGCCCATGACAGTGACAATCCAGAAGTCATTGGCACCGAGTTCCCGTCATCAGCTCAGAGATCAGAGAGCGACTGGTTCTGGGGGAAGGGGATTACACCTGTGAAGGTCAGCCTCAGTAACAGCGAAGCCATCGTCACGCTCGCATCCAGGTTTTCTCGCAATCAAGGCCATGGCTATTAAAATATCGCGTAATCGAGCCGCTAAATCGATCGGTACTTTAGTTTCGGTTATTTCGATTGTTCTGTGTGCAAGCCCAAGTTGTTGCAGTCCACTATCGCAAGTTGATGTGCATTCGACTGATAACGGAGAGCCAGGCCTCTGGATGCAGGAGACCAGGGATTCTTCCATAATCAATGGGTAATTAGAGGTCATTTTAATTGTTCATTAATCTCGGATAATTGGATTGGGTGGGTCCAGGGGCTATCGACCGGGTCGTTCCACTTTTACGTTGACATCCTTTCGGACTCAATGTGTTAAGAACATTCTAGCACATTTGATTTTCATTGTGCAGATGCACTGAGAAATATTATTTATTTCAATTAAACACACTTGCGACAACGAAATATTCCTAAACAATCGGTAAACAATACGTCAACAATCCGGACAATTCCTTTGAAAAGTCTTCTCTTCAAAAAGTTCTTTGGAATAAATAAATCGAGATCTAAATTTATTCGAAGAAATCGATTGATTGTGTTAATTGTTTAATGGATTGTATTTTTTTTTGTTATTTTTTTTTGTAGATTACCTCAGAATAAATTAGTGCAAATTACTGAGGAAGGCTACCCTCGACGAATCACTCAATCCTCTTTTCGGAGGAAGCAACTCCATTGGCTTCCGATTTGGTCCAGCGCCCGGGGGTTTTCCCTCTCTAACATCCTGGAGACGGTCCTCGATGTCGTCTCCGACAGTTTCAGTTCGCTCGTCAGCAATGTGATCGGGCCAGAATCAAAAAACGGAAAAACAATGATCAGCAGAGTGAGTTATAAAGGGCATCAGTTGCTCCGGATTCATCCGGTAAGTCAACAACAGGTCGAGGAGTTGCGGGAGATGCGAGACTCCGAGGCTGAGGAGATCAAGTTCTGGACACAACCAGCTGGCAACAAGTCAACGGATATCGTCGTGTCACCCGATATTATTGACGACGTCAGAGACTACCTGAGGGACAAGAATATCGATTTCAAGGTTCTCATTCCCGATATCCAGAAGACCATCGCTTATCAGAACCCTAAGATGTCGAAGGAGCAGAGGGACGATCTCGTCAACGTCCAGGGACACTCCATGACGTGGAAACGATATCATCGATTTGCTGGTGAGATTTTTGCAAATATATAATATATAATATTATTTTACACTGCGAAAAACAATTAATTTTTCTTTTACAATTAATTTATTTAGGAAAAATCTTGGAAGTACAATCGAATTATATCTTTATAAATTCATCTCGAAACCTATCGATGAGAAAAATTAATTATACGGATAAGAAAATATTATTACGCTGCCTTCTGTAGATTATTAACTTAACTCCGCATTCTTCAACTAGAAATTATGAAATACCTGGAATACCTCGCGTTCACCTACCCAACATTAGTAGAACTTGAAACAATTGGGCACAGCTTCGAAGGTCAGCCCCTGAAAGTCGTAAAAGTTTCAACAGGACGAGGTAAATCCGGTGCAAAACCAGCTGTTTGGATCGACGCAGGTAAAATCGACACTAAAACCATAAATACTCGCATAAAAATACTTGAACTGATAAATCACTCCTAAAATAGTAAACGAGATAATTTTGCAGTTTCTTTAAAGATCGATTGAGAAGTTATTTATCTTGAAAGAAAATGTCGAAGGATATTTCTCTCATCGATTGTCTTTCAATGAACCGATAATTAGGAGAATAATAGTCATCATGATTAGGAATGCACGCGAGGGAGTGGATAGGACCAGCTGTTGCGACCTACATCCTGAGTCAGTTGGTGGAGAAAAATTCGACGTACGCTAAACTCCTTGACACGACAGATTGGATGATCCTGCCCTTGGCCAATCCTGATGGCTACGAGTACAGCCACACCGGGGACAGACTCTGGAGAAAAACCCGGAGTACTCACCAGGAGGATAACCAGTCGAGGTAATTAAATCTATCCCTCGAGACCCATTACCTTCAATTTTTCCCTGAATGCCCCTAATTCACCATAAATTAATAAAATAATTAATCAAAGTTATCATAAATTTCTTAATTAGTTCGTTAATCTAAATGAATTAAATTCTCTTGAATTGTGACTCAATAATGGAAATCCCATGATTTCGGAAATTATGGACTCATTAGAGGATGTTGTTGTCAATGAGAAATTAATTGACGAATTAATTGATAATTGTCGGTGAAATTTGTCAATGAATAGTCGGTATACGCCAGCCGGTCTATTTCACCTCGTGACACACTACACCCAGTGGCTGTGGGGCAAGTGCGAGGGTGTGGATCCAAATCGAAATTTCGATTATCACTGGGGCGAGGACAGAAACTACAGGAGAGGTGGTGCAAGCAACGATCCTTGTCATGAGACCTACGAGGGTCCTCGAGCCTTCTCCGAGCCCGAGACCAAGGCCATGGCTGATTACATCATGGCTAATCGACACAATATAAAGTACGTCTTAGAATAAATCCTCACGGTTGATTTTCGATTCTTCCTTCGATTTTTCCTTAACACTAAATTCCTCTTTTACAAAACCCACTTCTACTCAACTTCTTGCTAATATATTTTAACATTTTTTAAACAATTGTTTTTAATAATACATGATAATTCGGTGAAATAAAATCCTTTTGAATTCCGGAATGATAGATTATCTGAAAATAATTTTTCAGGCTGTACTTGACTCTTCACTCTTACAACCAGATGTGGCTGGTTCCGTGGGGTCACACTCACGCGAAACCTGCAGATTACGCTGAGCTTGCAAAAATCGCCCGAAAAGCTGCCAAAGCCATCGCCAAGGTGCATGGCACTGCGTACAAAGTGGGTTCGTCAGCAGATCTCCTCTACCCCACGACAGGTAATCATGGTTGATAAATTGGGGATATTAAATACTGCAAGTATTATTTTTAAAATCTAAGAAATGGAGTTTCCCGAGTCCCATTAATAAAACGCAAATGCTGCGATTGAATTGAATTCACGGAATGACATGTTATCGGAGTAAAGATTATTATCAAATATATTAATTGATTTACATACGTTAAATCACTGGAATGAGGTACGTGATCTCAAAACGTTTGATAAATTGGATGGAAATTCTGGAGATATCATTATCGAATTCATTGATTTAGCTGCAATCAAGATCCTCGGGGAATTAATTAATGTTTCTGTTTACTTTGATCATCAGGTGCATCGGACGATTGGGCAAAAGGGGTTGCGGGGATAAAGTACTCGTATACCTTGGAGCTCAGGGATCGGGGAACTTATGGATTTTTATTGCCAGCAACTCAGATTATTCCAACAGCTAGGGAGACCTGGGCTGGGGTCAGAGCCATCGCTCGTTTGGTCTCTAATGACACTTGAATCTGTTATTTATTCTTGAGTAACTCTAGGTCAATTAATTAAATCGTGGATCGGTCCACATGAAGATACCTCATCTCCACCAGGTGCTTGATTCGTGAGGAATCGAATTCTCCAATGATTATTTTTAATTACAATCATTGTGTCAAGAGATTGTGAAATCACTTGTATTTATTCTAGATTATTTAATTATTTAATCATTTATGTTTTGTGGAATCACTATAATCATAAATCGAAGTTGTACATAATCAATAAATTATGACTGTTATTATTTTTAATTGAAAAATAATAAATAATCGGATACTAGAAGATTTCTGGTATTTTTTTAAAAACTTTTCCTGGAAAAATCTCTTTGGCGTACAAAGTTCAAATTGCTTCAATGTTTTGTCGTTAACGAAATCAAAATAATGATTGAGGTGACTGATCTGATCGCATTAATTTTATTCGGGAGTGGCCATTATCATTGCTGACTGATATGATGATCATATATAATGATCGCAGACAGCGGAAGAGTCAGAGGCCTCCGAAATGTTGTTCCAGTGGTTGATCGCTTCTTTCCTCGTTGCCCAAGGTAAGTCTTACATTAATCAATTTTATGACTTCTAACGATATAAAAAATTATGAATTCATGTATGTATCCTCAAAATAAAAATTAAACGCAATAGCAATTTTTTAATTGTTCTTTTCAATTCGATGAAATGAAGAAATATTATTTTTTGACGAATGCACTGTCTTTTTTGATTGATAAATTTTTCGGTGAAAAACGACAATAAAAAAATTAAAGATAATCAATCGATCGATTGATTGATAACTATTTGAAACGGATTGAAGGGCTGGCCAACCCCCGGATCACCAATGGTGTGACAGCTGTACCCCACAAGTACCCGTACCAAGTGTCAGTCCAATGGGGACTCCCCCCTCTAATTAAATACCGCCACGTCTGCGGTGGCTCCATCATCAGCCCAAGCTGGATACTGACCGCTGGCCACTGCATCACAGAGATCCCCAAAATTGGACGATTCCAGGTGAGTGCTGGGAAGCACGTAATCAACAAGGACGAGTCTGGCCAGCAAAATCGAGTGGTCACCGTCAGAATATCCCATCCAAAATACCCAGGGTAAGAACGAGCAAGACAATTAATTAAAAAAAAAAGTTTCGCTGATTGTTAACGATCTTTCCAGAGGTATTGCCCAACATGATATTGGTCTTCTCCGTTTGAAGACCCCTTTGACCTACACCGAGCACATCCAGCCCGTCGCCCTTCCTCCAGCTGGCAAACAGCACAAGGGCGAGACAGTCCTGACGGGTTGGGGCTCCATCTCTACGAAAATTATTCCCAAGCTTCCAACTCAACTCCAGACTGTTGAAATTCCCATCGTCGATTACGACGCGTGCTTGGAATCCTTCAAGTCCACGTCAACCAAGGTCGAGCTCTTTGACACTCAAATCTGCACTGGGCCAGTCGGTGGAAACAAGTCCGCCTGCTCCGGGGACTCTGGCGGCCCACTTGTTCAATTCGGTGGTAATGGAAATCCAGAACAAGTTGGAATCGTATCCTGGGGGACCTATCCCTGTGGAGTCGCCGGTACACCGACAGTTTACACTCGTGTCTCATCATATACCGATTGGATTCAGTCTCAAGTGAAAGTCTGAGTGAATTTAATTTGTCATTAATTGATTACCAATAAAATCCTGTTGCGAATTTTATTTTCATTCTTGTCAACCAGTAATTTCCTAAAAACCTTCATTATTTATTGATTTATAATTCATTTATTTATTCATTTCTAGTTTTTTCTTATTTTAAGTATTCGCTATTGAATTCTTTTTATTCGGATCTTTGAATTCATTGGACTGATCAGAGAAATAAGTAATCAAAAATAGAGTGCAGGATCGATAAATTTGTAATTAATAATTGATTCATCGCCTCTCGAAATGACTTGCACAACCCTCGACCATTAAAAACGAAGAGGCACTTGACTTCGCTCCACAATCGGCTATCATTGATCCACTGATCTACTGAATTTTATCACCGCTCTAAAATCAATTTTTACTCTCACATCTCGGGATTTCCTCGGAATTATCTTTCATTTTTCGATCCTCCGATAAACAGACGCAAACTTGTTCTATTATCGATCACAATACCACGTGGATCGTCTGTAAGTGGCTTAAGAAAATTATTGATAAATAACCGATAAGGGATTAAATAAAAGTATCCTGGAAAAATCGGCATTATTTTGTCACATATTATCAGTGATTGGATCTGGGGAAATTCACGAGAATTGCGCGTTTGGTCTCGCACTCATTCATTTATCATCGATTGGGTATAAAATGCGAGAAGGCCCAGAAAATTTATTAGTGATCGATCGAGATGGCTTCTAAGATTATTTTCATCGCGGCTTGTCTGGCCATTGCACAGGGTGGTAAGTCTCATTACTAAATTAAATTATCTGCAATTAATTATTTCCATTATAAATAATCACGAAATTATTAATTCCCATACCTAAAAAAATATTTTCTAATGGCTTGAATACATTATATGACATATTATTATTATATTATATATGATATAAATATATCATATAAATTGAATTTTGGAATCCACTCGTGAGTTCCTGGAGAATATTATATTATATCATGATATTAGAAAAGGAAATTTTTTATTTTCTTTTCGCAGATCAACGTCCATTTCTAGGTCTCAGTGTCCCCGAACTCGGATTGTCTCGAATAGTTGGAGGAAGTGAAGCAATTAAGGGTGCATTTCCTCATCAAGCATCTCTTCAGTGGGGCCTACCTCCACTAATAACTTATCGTCACTTCTGCGGGGGATCGATAATTAGTGATCGATGGGTATTGACTGCTGCCCACTGCATCGACGCAGTCCCCAGTTTTGGATTTTTCGTTGTCAAACTGGGAAAGCACTCGCTGAAGGAAACCGAAGCCGAAGAGCAGCTGGTCAGGGTCATCTCATCGTTCGTTCACGAGAATTACACAGGGTAAGTCATCCCCGATTTAATCATCAATCAGATCAATTAATTTTTCATAATCATCAATAATCTTCATGAGAAATTCTGTGCAACTGATTAATAATTTAAACGCAAAAGGTCTTCCCACGTTCCTTCCCAAATAAATAATTTTTTTAGATTAATCAATGAATTAAAAATGAAAATTTTTAATCGATTAATTAAATTTCCGTTGGTAGGGGTGTTGCCCCCTTTGATGTGGCTCTAATAAAACTGGAGTCTCCAGTGATTTTCAACCAGAGAGTTGCTCCTATTAATCTCCCGAAAGCTGGGGCTCGACCCTCTGGAAATGTCACCCTCTCAGGGTGGGGATCGACAGCCCCGAGTGGATCAAGTCTTCCAGCCAATTTGCAAACAGTCATTCTCCCTGTGGTAGATCTCCCCACCTGCAGAAAGTCTCTTGAGGCGCTCGTGGGTCCTTCCCCTCTCCACGACAACAACGTCTGCACTGGACCATTGACTGGAGGAACTTCTGCTTGCAGTGTGAGTTTTCATTTTGAAATTCAATGAGAAACTCGGAAATTTCTGGACGTAAACTCTTTGAATTTAATTGCATTCAATTTTAATTAGGGAGACTCGGGCGGACCTTTGATCGCGAGGAATGGAAACAAGTCTGAAGTCGTGGGGATCGTCTCCTGGGGAATATTACCCTGTGGCAGTGTCGGCGCTCCGTCGGTCTACGCCAGGGTCTCAGCCTTCGTCGACTGGATCCAGAAGACCATCACCGAGAACTGAATATTTTTTAATAATTCAAGATTTTCAGTTTCTTAATTTCCCAACTTAAGTCCGGGGGAATTTAAATTAAAATTATTAAAATATACCCAAACAGTATTATATAAATTCAATTCCCCAAAATAATTTCAATCAATAAAATATTTAACTGTTAATCACAACAAAAATTCGCATTTGTTTTCATTCCACTTTTCTACATTTTTTTAAACAATACGATAATTAAATTGAGAAACAGAGAATTCTAGAATTAAATTTTCTGGAATTTTCCAGGAGTTTTGAATAATCCCTGAACAAAACACCGATTACCTCATCCGATCTCTCCTTCTGGTTAAACTTATTATATTGTTAAATAGTTATTGTCGAAGTGCAATAATGCCAACGAGTTTGTCACAGAAAATAGTAAAGAGGATTGGTTTCGGAGAATGTGGGTCAAGACTGAGGAATGCAGGACGGAAGGAATAAAATTTTCCGATTTCCAATTTTTCGGTTCAACGATCGTCTGATTTTCAGCTGTAAAAATAATCCGTCGGTATAAAACATCGAGAAACAATAGAACTTTGTTCAATTACAATTCATCATGGGTTGGGGAGTCATCTCGCTCATTGCAGTGTTTTTTATCGCTCGAGGAACTGGTGGGTTCAATCTGATTCACGAAGTGAGAGTTCTATAGGTGCAGGAATAAATTAAAATGAATTGTTTATCTATTAATTTATTATCAGTTTTTAATTCAGTATCAAAGAAGTGAAACGGTGAAACAGTGCAATGAGAAAAAAATTTAGTAAAACGTAGTAAAACTCAATATTAAATATTGAATTAGATTTAAAACCATAAAAATAATTATTCATTTAACTAGGTATTCAATTAATTTCATAATTTCCTTGAATGATAACATGAAATTTGAATTCTTGCAAAAGTAAAAGTAAAATTGCAATTGAATTCCAAATAAATTTATTTATTTCAATATTTATCACTTGCAATCACATATGTATTAATTAATTCCATTTGTTACTTGCAAATCAAATTTTTTTTAATGCACTACATTTTTTTCTGAGTGTGCATTGAATTTTATTAATTTTTACATTTGATACTGAATTCGTGAATTATTTCGGATAGAATCCCGTCCGCAATTCGAAAAAGACGATTCGTTTTTCAACCCTCGAATCATCGGTGGAGTGGAAGCTGTGAGGAACTCGTATCCTCATCAAGTATCTCTCCAATGGGGTTTCCTATCCACAACGAATACCAGACATTTCTGTGGAGGAATAATTATCAATCAATCGTGGATTTTAACAGCCGCCCACTGCATCGACGCCATCCCGGAGATAGGGGGACTTCTCGTTAGAGCTGGCAAACATTTTCTCGATCAAGTGGAACCTCTGGAGCAGTCCAGGAGAGCCACCGCTGCTTATGCCCACGAAAATTTCATCGGGTAAATGAATCCCATGCAAAAATCAGTTTTTTTTCATAATTCCTTTTTATCGTCGATCTTATTTTTCTTTTTAACTCATCCCTAAAAATTCCTACCTAATCCAACAATCACAAGGTAATATGTAAATAAAAAATATTGTACGGAATAATTCAATTCCAAATAATAATTTTTTAAATTAAATTATCAATTATCGCTTCATAATTGCAAACAATTGCAGCCAATTGTAAACAATTGCATTTTTTTCGTAAAATTAATGTTACCGCACGCAATAGTTTTCATCGAGAATTTTCGAATGAAAAAAGGCCCAAAAATTGTAAAAATCTCGGGCAGTAATTAACGCAGAGCCATTAATTATTCCGCCAGTCAATATTACTGCAAAATTAAAGAATAATTGTTTTCACCCAGGGATGTAGCTCCATACGACATAGGACTCATCAGGTTGACAACTCCCTTCACCTGGACGACTGCAGTGGGCCCGATCAATTTACCCCAACCCGGTGCAATTCCCACAGGAAATGTGACATCAACGGGCTGGGGTGCGACGGATCCCAACGGTGCAAACCTGGGAAATGCCCTCCAGACCGTTGAAATACCCCTGATCTCCCTGAGCACCTGCAGGAATGCCCTCATTCCATTCGGAGGTGCTGGCACCCTCCACGAGACGAATATCTGCACTGGACCCCTTGGGGGTGGATTCTCCCCATGCAGCGTAAGTCCCAAATACATTCCTCTAAATTATTTTCGATATTAAACAAAAAAAAATTTAATTTTTCATTGAATTTAATTTCATTGAGTTGATTTGAATTATTATTCTCTTAACTTTATCGTCTTATTTTATTTATTTAATTCGATATCTCGTAGAAAGCCAAATATTCAAGTACTCTAGTAGTATTATCCGTTTTTTAAAAACAATTCTTTTATCGATGATTAATGTTTAATGCAGGGAGATTCCGGCGGTCCATTAACCTGGAGAAACGGTGATAATTGGGAAGTGGTGGGAATCGTCTCCTGGGGAGTAATTCCCTGTGGATTGAGAGGTGCCCCTTCAGTATTCGTTCGAGTCTCTGCCTTCATCGACTGGATCCAATCAACCATAACAATAAATACCCAGGGTTAAATAAAAAAATATCTTTTTAAATGAATAGGACGTAACAATAATTTATTCTCGTAATCATTTATCATACAACACGTTCCTGCATTTTGTTTCTGCATAAACGTTTCAATGACAATCTCGACAATAAATGACGAGTTCACTGATTGTGTAACGATTTATAACGTGAATTGCCAGATGTTTAATTATCCAAAATAATCAATTTCGTTCGTATTGACAAGTTTAATTCCTCTCAAACCAGAGATTGAATTCAATACAGAGACAGAGAGAGAGAGAGAGAGAGAGAGAAAAAAAAATTAAAAATACTAAATTCGAGACACCGTTTTCCATTGCACGCTCGCAATATCGATTATCCATGTCTCCTCTCAATCTCTGAATTCCCAGAGACGAGACAGACATCAATTAAATTAATAGACCTGAATTTCCATTAAATAAATTACCTAAGCCAAGTAACAGTAAATACTCAAGACTTAAAATTAAACAGTGCACAATTGCTTGATTTTCCTAATTAATAGCAAGTCTTAAATGCCAGTGATTTGACGGAATTACCAGACACCTTACCTAAATATCTCCGTCGATAAATCCCATCCAAATGCACACGACTCATATTCAATAAACCCTTTAAATCTCCAAAGTATTCCGAACAAAACCAATCGCTTAATTTGTTCTCAGTCAAGGTATAAATACACTGGGTCCCCCTCGTTTGGCTATAGGTGGGTCTGAAAGGGTGGAAATGAAAAAAAAAATAATCAGGATGAAATAACTTGAATATCACCAGAAATCCACACATCAACAAACAAAAAGATGAAAGAATTAAAAAAAAAAACATATCAAAGAGAGAAAACAACTGTTAATTTCATCCGCAACTGCAACTAACGAGCGTTTAATAAAAACGATGCCTCGATTATAATAACATTGGAACGGCATATTGTTACATTGTAATTATAATTAATTATTGGGACCATTTGAAGTCAATTCGGTACCACCGACAATCGTCGTTGCTCCTCGGCTTTTGTTCATCATCCTCTTTCCTTCAAATTATTTATTCAAAACAGAAAAAACAACTCTGCAAAAGCCTCACTCCTAAGCAATATACACACCTCATCACTTATTCAGCTCGCTCACATACATATTTCGAGTAATTGCAAGCAGTAATCCACTATTTACTTCTCCCTACGCATTAAGTACTTTGCCCATTCATCTGGCCTCAGACACTCGAGTGAATAAACGAGAGAGCTTAACTCGATATTGATTAACAATTCGCCACCTCGTCTATCTAGTAATTCAACATTGTCACCCATTAATTGCAATTAACATAATCCCCGTGCACGTCTAACTACATTACAAGTAATTAATATACACAGTGATGCTGTTTATAATACTATGATTCATTTTTTGTGAGGTTTACCAATTTCCCAATTTACCAATTTACCAATTTCCCAATTATCCGTGTGTTCTGAGTATTCTAACGTCTTCTTACAATAATTAGGCCGCTCGAAAGTCTACATATGCAGCGTAATGCACTAATACCATTCCTCAATTACTGTATTTACTCGTTTATTATTTTTTCGGATAATTTTTCGATAAATGCAGTATGCGAGAGAGAGTATTAAAAATAAAGCTAGGGGACTAAATATCTGACTAATTACCTGAATGGCATTAATTTTATTATCCTGATGAATCGATTTTTCCAGAATAATTTTTCTGGATTTGTTATCGATTAAATTCAATAGCGAAGTGTCAAGTCAGATGAGTCGAATTTGACATGTTGATTAAAAATCGATTGATCTCGAAAGCTAGTGGCTCTCAGAGAAAATACCAAAAGATCATTTCTGTCGGAAATTTATCGATCTAAAAAATAAATCCTCTCAAATTTCCAGCTACAGTCAATAGTTTTCGAGATTTATCGATATAAATGGAAATCTTAAATTCGACTTACCCCTTTGCCACCCCTCAGCCAACAAATTCCACGTCTACGATTTATTAATTAACAAATTAATCGGCGAATGAATACAAATTAATGAGGGATCGCCTAATCTAATCACCACACTCTCAAATTAATAAAAATATAATATCTCTGACGTATCAATTCCACGATAATGAAAAAAAATGAAAATGAATTTCTACTGGCACCGAGATATGTCTGGCATAATTCCCTTGAATTGACATGATATAAACTTTCGATTACAATGGCAAGACGATGCATCCCCCCAAATAATTTGATTGACACATTATTGTAATCAGTTAAACGGGCATGAGTGTTTTTTTCTGATTAATCGTTAAAACTTTAATATCTTCATGAATGGAGTTATTTCAACGTCGTCGAGGCTTCCTCGGCTTCCTGACTCGCTCGGCCTCAAAATTGCACGAGCTGCTATCCTCAGATCCGGATCCATTCTGCCAATCCGTTATCTCTGTTCCATCCAATTTCCCATGCGATCCACCGCTCTGTTTCTGTTTCTATATTTTTTTTTTCATTTCGTATTTATTTTCCTTTATTTTCCTTTATGCTCAATCATCATTAACTCTGACCCAACACGTACAGATTAAGGTAACAGCACAGAGAAAGCAAGCACATTGATGGTGAAAATTAATATGAACCAGTGGAGGTAACTAATTAGGCAACAAAGTGGAGGAAGAGAGTGAGTCAATATTTCACACTGATTTTTCAAAATATCTCTCAACCCAATGAAGATACAGGAATCCACAAGAGAACTTTTTTGCAGCACTTGAAATTCTCTGTAGAAAAGATTTTGTGGAAATTTCATCTATCTCGAGCGGATCAGCAGATATTTTGGAAAGAAATGGAACAATCTTTCCATCTTACCACTTGTTCACTGAATCAGTAATTCATAACAGTCCCAATGTGCGAGAGTCAATGCTCTTTGTGTATCGAGTACTTTCATGCCAGTTTAACGTCCACGACATCGACAAATTTATTGAGCAAACTAAAAATCTCTGAGAGTGAAACAAACACCTTTCAAGCCTCAAACGCGAAAGCAGTGAATTGATAATCTTTATACAGTAATAAATGCGGTACTAAGTACTGATTCAACAGTCTGAGAATGGATTATCGGATATTATTCTTCCGATTGCACCCTCAGTGACTCCTATCTACGAGTCATGTTAATAAATGCCTGGAGACTTAACTATTATTTAATTATCAATCATTGCTGAACAACATTTTGGTTTTCAGAGCGTCTAGACAAACGTTTCGTCGTTTGTTCAATTAACGACGCGAAGTGGCACATTTTAAATCTTCAATCATTCGCTGTTAATAAATTTTCACTGAATCGTGTAAAAGAAAATCCTGGGAAAATTTCATTAGATTAAAATTCGATTTAATTCGAAATTTCACGAATTACATAAAATTTCAGATAAAAATTAATATTCTCTTGTTTAAAAATATTTTAATAATAATTATTCTTAAATTTTCTCCAGCTCTTATTAATTGTAGAGAGTAATAATAAAATTAATGCGAGATTCGTAATTGTCAGCGAAAAATCTCTGAAAATTCAATGCAAATGATAATTGTTATCAATTTTTAAATCAATAAATTAAACTTTCAGTGAAAATTATTCAACATCGATACATCGTTACATCGATTTATCCCCGACTATTTCCGGAGATACTTGAATCCAGAAGAATCAAATGGTTCCACTTTCAATAAGGCATTCTGGATCTTTCTATAATAGATGCATTCTCATCCACAATCCTAATCACTCGAACCATGTCGTTATTCCTCTAATATAATACACGGACACGTTAATATTTAGATACAGACACAGACAAAAACGCAACGGTGAATGACACATTCATTGTTTCTCAATAAATTACGTAAGAAATATTTTACTGACAAATCTATTATGTACAATTTCTCTCATCCCTACGTTTTAACTTGAATGGAATTCAACGAACAGTTTGGATTAGTGTCGAGCTATCCCACCCTCCCGTTATCCAGAAATATCTCCAAAACTAAAAAAGATAGCGCAGTATTTTTCATCACCTTTTTTATAGGGCTTAATCAGCTCTACAAAAAATATTTATACAAAAAATTAATTATCTCCGTTACTTTCGGAGATATTTGCGCGAACACACGGGCTGTCTGGTATTAATCAGTTGAATACTTGGAACGTGGAAAATCCCGCGTAATCCAGCTCCAGGTAATCAGTGACCGAGAACAGCACGATAATGCCCTAATCACGATTACACGCATCAGATGGGTGTCATCCGAATTTTCAGTCGTTGTCGTTATGATTAAATAGCCACAAAATTCATTGAGGAGTGAAACGAATTGAGGGAACGACAGGATAAAATACAATAAGTGGGTAATTAAGGGCCCACCACGATGAATTTTGAACACAACGAAGAAGGGTACATTGAAACCCTTCAATGACCCTCCATCCTCATTCATATTTCCTCAAATCAGGTAGAATTCACCGGAGATAATGAGCACGAGTCGTTGTGCACTCCCACTGTGCTGATTATTATTGACCAAGTGCAGTTCATTCTCGTTGCAGTATCTCCTAATTTGTGCATACACAAACATTTTGTTTTTTTTTTTCGTTCAGACGGTGGTACCCCAAAATTCTCAATTCATTGATTCATCAATTGATTGATTCATTCGATTGTAGAGGGATAGAAAGCCGTTGTTAAATAAATTCATAAATCGAACTGACGATTTTTTGTAATTACCAAATTATCGCGAAAAGTCGAAATTTATCGTGAAATGTTCAAAGAACTTTCTTGTCGGCGAAATTCCCAACAATTTATCCGAAATAATCTGCACTTAATTGCTCAATTAGTTTTCAATTCCATCGGCTTTACAACCGAATTACTCAAGTGTTACTCATGATTAATACTTAATTAGGTTAATTACATAAACGATTATTAAGCAGAAAAAGCGTGACAATACCTCTTGTAAATCATGGAACAAAATGATTGATAAATAAAATTCATACAATTCTCAGGTTTTGCTCAGCAAGCGCCGACGGTGATAACGCATTAAAAAATAAAACGTGATGTAGACCGAGCAAGTGAGGTAGATGCACCGATATATGTTGAATAATGGAGAACGAAAAATTAAGAGACTCCCAGCTAATGATTTATGGTGAATGTCTAGTGCATCTGCCATTTAACATTTTTCAAACATTTTTTTGGGGTTGAACTCACCATTTCCGTTGTTAGACTAGCAAGTGCCTCTTCAACAGTCGCTGCAACTCTTCCTCCAACGTCATTACGATGATTACCTTTGGTTGGTGTTGTTGGACAACCTAGAATCATTCCCCGCACTGTCTTTACACGTTTTTTCAAAGATTCATTACTATTTTCGGTTAATAAAACAACTATTCTGGGGATTGGGTGGAGGAGTGGTCAGTAGTGAAGTGGAGAACTGAATTATTTCGAGTACTCATGATTTCCAGACATAATTTTAGATTAAAATTCATGACTCACGTCAGATAAATCGAGTGCATTCAATTCGATTTATTCCGAAAATATAAATTTTATGAGAAAATGATAGAGAACTTTTTTCTTCCCCTGATTTCTCCTAAAATCAATAATTTTCCACAATAATCGATATGTAATAAAAATATAACAATCGATTATCTCACATGATCATTTCATTATTGAACTCCTTTTGAAATCATCAATCGTCGAAATGAATAAAAAATTGATAAAACAATTTGAAAGTGAAAGTTCTCTTGAATTCTTTGATAAATCATTTTAAGAACAATTTCACTGAGACATTCACCAATAAAGGAAGGCGTGTGTGCCTGCTGACGTAAACGAACGATCTAGCCCATTAATCAAAGCTCTGAATTTAATTTGCATTACGATTGCCAAAGTAAACTGATAAATTGGATGTTTGAACGATACAGGAACGATTTGAAGACAAAAATAAAAATATAACATAAATTCTAACGAGTCTGTGTCTAGGTGATGAGCAAGCGTGAATCTGTAATGCGTGATGTCGATTCTTGATGATTATCAATAATTTAATGAGATTAGAATTAAATAAAACGAGTAAAACTGAAGACTGAACTTATCTCGAGGCTCGCCGGTCCTAAGCGACTGTAGACTTGAAAATTTAACAATCATGAGACATGGAATCTCCTCGTACATGGGTCAGTGGAAATTTAATGCTGATCATGATTGAACGATGACAAACTAGATTGTTTATTTCTTGTGTATGAGTTTATGATTTTTATTGTCCGAATAATCCAAGTTATTTCATTGATCCTTGATTAACTAAACAGAGCTATTTCCACTTTATTATATGAAAAAATAATAAATTGTTGAGTGTGTACAACCAATGGATTAATTCACGAAAGAATTCGCTTCGAAACACCTTCAACTTTTAAAAAACCATGAATAATCACAATTGAACATCTGTCCCAACGAATGCTTTCGCGTGACAGATAAATTTATAATCTGCCTTAAGACATTAATTCAATGATTACGGGACGATTACAATAATCTTAACACCATCGAGTTAAATTAAAAAACATTTAGTCCACAATTTGGCTGAGAATCTTGATCAGAATATCCAAGAACTACAAAAATACCCGCCACCAGACTTCCTCTCTCCCAGATTTTCTCGAATAATGAGAATACAGTTGTTAATGACATTAATGTTATTGAACAGTTGATAAAACATCGCAGTTGACTGGAAGTGTTTCTTCAGGACTCGAAGTACAGGTTGAGAGCTATAACGAACTTACCTATGTCACCGCTGCTCGAGCTCTCAGTGAAGGAGGGAGTACCCTCTGTCCACGTGGGTGTTGATCCCTCAGCACTACCCGCTGGTGGTGTCCAGGTTAGTCCACCACCTCCTCGACTGCTACCTCCACTCTCAACGCTCAATGATGATTTTGTTTCGCGACCACCACTTCCACCACTTCCGCTGCTCTCAAGATGAACATCTGATATACTTGAAAAAAATAATAAACAAAAGATCAATTAATTCCCTCCATTCTCTCCCCTTTCACATGATCATTTGAAAAAGCTCTCGAGCTCTTGTCTTCGACTTACCTGACAGAATCATGATATGTCTTGGTACTGAGCGTCACATGATGAACAGTTCTGTTCTGCTTGGCATGTGCTACAGTTGTCTGGAGATGACCACCCGATGCCAGGGTCTGGTCATTCGATCTCATAGCGTCATCAAAGGGTGGGGGTGGGGTAGAGCAGGTTGATGGGAGGGTGCCACCTACAAAAAGCGCACTACAATTAGCCCTAGGTCAACAGCATCACTTAAACACAAACATTGAATTTATCACATGTTTAAATTCACAATATCTAGTCTATCTACTGTCAGTGCTCACTATTTGTCGGGGAGATTTCACATCAATTCCATCATTTCGCTATTTTTCTCGCTCGAATCGTTGATACAGTTGTGGGGAACTTTCTACGTTTATGCGGGAGTTTCTAATGAAAACCACAAATCTAGCAACATACATCTAGCATGCACAATTGCGGGAGAATAAATTATGTAATGAAAAAATTAATGGAGAACTCAAGAGTCAAAGTGGTAAAACGTAAATGATAAAAGAATTTTTATTTAATTCCCTATTACGTTCAATAATAAATCATTTCGAGATGAATTATTTCTCCCTGCAAACGCATCCAAAGGAAAATTATTATTTTATTCATTTTTATTAATTAATTAATGTTTAATGTAGTTTTCTGAAAACTTCCACAACATATTCACAATTATTAAGAAGATATCATCAGACTGATTTCGTTTTACGACTTGACTCTTCAATAAAAATTGGTAATTCTAAACTACGGGATGTAATGAATGATGAGTGACGGTCATTGATAGCCATGCAGGAAGGAAGTGTTTCTGAACGCGGGACTCCTCTCCCTGGACTGATCCCTCAGGTAATTCCGATACTGATCATCGGATAGATGAGGCTTGCAGGTGTCCGGGAGTCTCTCATCAGTCCTGATATTAGGTGAGGGAGCTCTCAAGCTAGTGCAGCTCGAGAAAAATTCTCTGTTGTCCATTACACTCAGATTTTGAGATACAAATTCTCCGCGAAGACGAACATTGATGCTGTTGGAGCTCTGAGTGATGCTCTTCTGCCCCACCGATCTGCTCTTCAGATTCGTGAGGGACTCGAAGACTTGCTTCCTCAGCGAAGGCTTAGGTGCGGCTCTCTTCTTCTTCTTTTTCATCTTGTACGTTTTGATCTTGACCTTCGTGGGGTTCTGCTCCAGAGACGTTCGCGAGGATTCACCGAATGCTAGTAAACTCAATTGCTTCATGAAGTTGGTACTATCCTGCCGAGGCTTCTGAATTTTAATCTCTTCAGCAGAATAATTCAATCGCGTCTCATTCGTCTTCAATTTCTTTGACTCTCTGGATGTTCTCTTGAGCCTTTCGGCGTACGTCTCCGAGTGCTTCTTATCCTTCCTGGACATCTTGTAATGATTCTCGTGATGGGGATTGAGGAATTGCGTGAATTTATTGACAGCCCTGAGTTCTGATTCCTGAGAACCGGTGGGGACTGATTGTCTGATCGATTCCTTGGGTCTAGGATGGAACTCCCTTTTCCGTCTCTCAGGTCTAATCGGACAGGGACTAGTCCTGATAACGTACGAGTTGTCGAGCTTCTCAACGCATACGAATTCCTCTTCCTCGAGTTGTTCGATATAATCAGGAATGAAATACCCAGTACCCAGGAACTGCGAGGGACCCTGACTAGAGTGTAATGAATTGGGTGCATGCAACGGCGATCTTGGTGGCTTGTAAAGGCCTTGTGGTATTTTCTTACGTTCATGCAAACTATACGCGACATTGACATCACCTCGACCGGATGTCGACGAGGATGAGGACACGTTGCCACGTTGTAGCTCGTCGATACTCGCGCGTTTTCCAGTGCCACGCGGTGGTACAGGTGGTGGTACCTTTCCTGATGGCACCAGATTTGGATTCGGGGGACTCGCTGCAGATCTACCTTTCAGCACAGCGGGATAACTTGCACGGACTTGAAACGAGTTGACGGATAATGGGGGTGGACCAGCGGTTATTCCACCGCTCGTCGATGTCGCGAGTACCGTTGTCGGTACGTTGACGGGGGTCGAGGTGGCTATTGGCACTGAACTTGTGGAGATTATCGTGCTGGAGGTCACCACTGGCACTCCCTCGGGACTTGTCGGGCTTACTGTTTAATCGGGGTCAGGGACAGTGACAGAGACAGATTTTTTTTATGAGTGAGATTAGTTGTGGGGGAATGAATAATTACAGTGACTATTTACGGAGACGATTTCATTCCTTTGCTGGATATTAGTTCACGATTTATCGGCTCCTCCAAAATGAAAAATCTCTCAATAAAAATTGAGATATTACCGTAGACTCTCGTAATAAAAATTATTTTTCCAACATTCTTTTTGACTCAATCGAAATAAACTAATACTTGACCCCATAAAATCATTTAATTATTAAACTCTGAATAATTCATTACATCAGAATTATCGGGAGTTTATTCATCAATACAGAGATCATTCCCCTGGATTTATAATTGCATTTATTATTTACAAAGAATAATTGAATGATCGTCTGGGTTTTTTAACTCTCTGTTCGCTAAAGAAATTAAAAATCTCGGAGTTTCTCCGATATCCGCAAAAAAATGACTGACTACCTGATGAAATGACAGAGGTATGCAGTAGCTCATGTTAAAATAAGCCATTGCATAAAATAAAATGACGTATGAGTTGCAGATGACTCACCGGCTTTTGTGGGTGATGTTGCATGCATCGTACTTCCAACGGCCGTCACCACTAAACCACCACACAATACCCAATTACCATATCGTATCAAGTAATCTTGACTATAAAATTGGATTTTCACCGATTGACAGGATGGCAAGTAATTGAGCAATTGAGAGAGTTTAAAGCTCCTGGATTGTCTTGCAAGTGGGACTGGGATATGCCGAGGTGGTCGCAACGGGTGATACATTGATCGCACATTTATTTCTAATGCATTTGGATCTTCGCTTGCCTTTTTATGGAATGAACCGTGGGGTGGTTTATGAATTGAAAAATTTATTTCGTCAGCTAGTCTGGGTTGTAATGCCAAGGATTCACTTACCAGTTGAATCAAAATCACCCTCCAGTGGCCTCAAGGGCCTCGTGATGCTTTTTCTCTTCGATGGGGAATGTTTCAGAGCTGAAACACAAATTAATCCATGTCGTAATATCCTCATTATTTATTTTGCAACGAACTGGCGAAGGGGAACAAGTCGATCTAGTTAGGTGGTATGTTTTCGAGGAATATCTCTCAATCTAAAGGAGATAGCTAGATTTTTGGTTATACTTTTTTGTAGCTATTGTTGCACTCTATAAAAAAGGTGCTGATGAAAATTTCGGTATCGCTGTTAAATTCGGGGATATTCCACGAAAACTCGGGTAAGGAAGTTAACTTGTCGGCCTTCACCATTTCACTACTGAATTATTTTCAGTGATCACGTTTTGTTAAACAGTTTATTGAGACAGCTCGTTTATTCACCCAATCTTATGTAATTTTTAATTGAAATATTAATAATAATAAAACAACCAAGCCGAGAACATCCAACAGCTCTCATTAGCGAAGGACAATAAATTATTTAGTCTCTTAAAAAGCACTAGTCGTCCATTTCACTTACAATTTGTCTGAGAATTGTACCTAGAATTCATCTGACAAAAACCTACTGCATGAATTATACTTCACACTTGGGACCTATTCTAAACTAATTCCTCTTTCCTCTTCCATAAAAGGACGAATAAAAACAGGAGGAATGGGGGGATAAAAAACTTCTTCGAAAATGGAAATGAAATCCACAAATCGATCGTCAGTGCAGTCCATGCATAATCTATTTACATCTCTATAATTAATTAAAATCAGTAATGAAGGAGTAAAACGGTTTGAGTCTAGTTCATGAAAATTTTACAGTGAAAATACTGAGACTGAATACTGATTTTTGAAAATAAAATCCCATAAAAAATTACTGGATATCTTTTGAAAATTCGGACTCTGGACCCGATCCGAATTACTTCTTCACTCTAGATTAATTAACAAATTAAAACGGCATCACTGAGAAATAAAAATAAAATCTCGAATGACATCGGGTAATTATCAAAGAGTGCAGGAAAAAACCAACGACACTAAGCCGAACACAAATGAAGATAATAACTCATGCTAATTGACCAGTGAAGGTCGTAACACACTGATAAGACAGGGAAACATTAAAAAAAAATATGAAGGAAAAATCTAAAAACACACACGAAAGTCACACGAACGGACAGAATGAGAGACAGATAGAGTTTACCTATGTAGCTGGTGACGAGGTTACGGAATTTGCGATGATTTCCCTTAATCTCAGGCAGGTCCACTGTTTTTTATTCGATTATAATCGATGTATTTGATCGAGGCAGGTTGATATCAGGTCAGAGGGTTGACACGGAAAATGCACGGACACAGAAACATCAAATATCATTTTCTAATGTTCTTTAAATTTTAATACCCAACACTCATAATCGAGCTAATTATATGAAAGTAAATAAAAAATAAAAAAATCAAACCGGCTGTCACACAGAGATAAATAAATATTGAGGATCCATTGAACAATTCAATAAACGCCAAATTTTCTTTTGGTTTTTGTCAACTGTCCAGCCAAGGTACACTCGCTATTTAAACCCACGTCATAACGATAAATCAATGAAGTTGTCAAATAAAATTAGTGGCTCATGGTAGGATTATAGTGATAGTTAGATTGTCTGGGTAAAGAACAAATGATATGAGGTTGTAAATAGCGAAATAGTGTTTTATTGTAAAATATAAATATTTACATTGGTGTCCACGTTCAGTAACCAGCTGATTATTTCTTCCATGATAAAAAAATAAATTCCTATCGTCTAATCTACCTCGTTCTAGTCGTTCTCTCCCTGAGAAATCATCGATTAAAATAAATCGTCAACTCATCAACGACAACTCCCAGTCACTCCTCTATTCTTCATCATTGATACAATATTCGATGGTCAAATCTGCACTATAAAAATATTTGTGCTATCGTCGTATACGTTTGGCTCAATTTCATATTCATAATACCCAGGCTACATCTGTGGACACCAATCGACTGTGCAAATTGAGTAATTCAATCACCGAATTGGTAAAAAAAAAAATCAAAACAAAAAATATCAAAGTCATAATTGTTCTTGGAATGATAGAAACCAGTGGCTCTTGAAAAATAGTATTAAAAAAAAATATCGAGTTATAGACAACAGTCCAGTCCTAGCAATTAATTCCACTGACAGATCGTCAATTGACCCCAAGCACTCATAATTTTTATAATGCATCTACATTACTCAAATGACTCTGCCTATTCAAATGGAACATCAAGTCCTCCGTATATCATACTTTGAGCAATAATTGAATCAACTTTCTGTTGAATGTCAATTGGCAGGTTACATGCTTCCACAAATCGTCGAGTGATTTAATTAATCTCCATAATGCTGAATTTAAATCTAGCTTAAAGGCTTACTGCTCATGTCAATAACCGTGATTATTATTTATTAATTATCAGAGAAATTGAGCAGAAAGAACAATTTCGAATTTAACGAGGATTCATTAATTGAGCTCAGCTTGAACTCATTACATTCAATGAATTACCAATTTTTCTAAAAATTATCGAAAATACCTTCTGCCCCATTTTTCATCTCCTCTAATACTGGAGTATATCTCAAAGGTAAATAAAGATAATGAAAAAATATATTGAACCGTAGAATGTAAACACTTTGCGAGACTGTACCGACTGTTATTAATCATGATCTAGGAATGTGCCTTATTTATCGCTAGCATCGAAGTCAGATTCGTTAGGAGGGGCTGATTCGGATGGTACTTACGTGATGGTATCTTCTTGAATACAGTCTTTGCCATGAAGTCCTGGAAGCGCTGGGCGTAGAAGCCCGGTCTATGCACCGACACAGTGTCCTTGAACAGACAATCGAAATTAATTCCACAGTACACCACAGAACATCAAAAGCTTGACTCTTCTTCATTATTTTGTTACTGAATTATATTTAATATGACTTACCCCATCGTGAATCATGGATTTCCACGTGTGCTCGAGTTTTTTCTTCAACCGATAGCTCTGGAGAATGTCAATAATACCGAGGAATAGCAAGAGACGCTCGCCTCGTGCATTCCTCGCTGGAATACCCCCAGGACTGCTAGGAACAAAAATGAGAGAATTGTAATTATTAATGACGAAATACCCCATTTATTTGTCCAACTGCTGAAGCAATTGTTAGTTATGAGCAATTACATGTGGATACTCACGGTACATCGTCTTCCTCGTCTATCGGTTCACTCTCAGCCTGGATGCTCTCCATGGCAGTGCTGTGAGCTACCAGCCTCTGGCGATTAATACTACGCGATCTGTTGAGGGCTGTTGCACCTATTCTCTCCTCACGGTCCTTCTCACGTTCTACCTGGACGAAACTTCCACTCTCGTAGCCAGCCTCACCTGGTTCCTCCTCGACTGTTGTCGATAGCCTCGGTTCCTGCATAATACGTGGAAATCATTTCTCTCATTCCCCAGTTATTTTATTTAAAAAGACTTGTAAAGATTTTTATTCATAAATTATTGGTGAATTACCGTTTTTTCCCTTGCAGCCTGATCCAAGTTATGAATTCCAACCAATAGGGAGTAATCCATAATCTTGAAACTCTCGAGCACTCGACAATCCCTCTGAATAGTCTTGACAAGAGCACCATAAGTGTCGGCCTCGAGGAAAATTCCCTCAGGATGATGCTCCATAAAGTCCAGGTCTTTGTAGGTCGGTGATTTCTTAGATCTCTCGCTCCTCGACGCCTGCGTTATCAAGTCAATCCAATTATTTACATCATCCCAGAAAGAGAGGAAATTGCATGTATGCATCAGTTTAAATTAATTCAAGGTACTCACTTTTCTTTTGTACGTCGATCCTTTCAAATCGTACTTTTGATGCAACTTAACTGCCGAGGGCAAGAGATTATTCATAGCAATCAATCTAACGTTCTTACTGTTGCAACGATAGCAGTACAATCCAAAGAACTTTGGTAATAGAGTTCTCGGATTTTGATTGAGGTTCATGTAATAGCCAGGTAAAAGAGTCTGAAGAAACTCTCCCTCTTTATGCTGTACAGTCTTTATAATAAATTCGTCATCCTCTGTTAAATAAAAGATGCTTCCACTTGCACCAGGATTCGATAATTCTCGAAGAGGTGCACTACACATAGACATCTACATAAAAATTAAAAATTACAAATGACAGCTGCAGAATTTGAAATATGAAATATTGAGTTAAAAAAAAATATTCGCAGATGAGACTCACCAAAAAATCATCAGGCTGAATGCCAAAAAGATCCCTAAAGTATCTAAATGCAATTGGAGCGTAATTTTTAAACTTGAACTCAGAGAAATGATGGGCCGGCGTGTGATTGGATCCCTCACTCGGAAAATTCGTTGTCTCGACAGTCATGAAGTCCTGCATCAACAAATCCCTCTCAGGTTTACTAGCCAATCCACCAACAGCGTGTTGAATACCGAGTTGTATCGAGCCCATGATCTGAGTCGTTTGTATCTAAACGGGAGAGAAAAATCCATTCATCTGTCAAGTTAATCATATTAATCGACTATTTTGTTTATTCCAAGTCTATCGTGTTGTGCGCCTTCGTCATGTGCGTTTGCGTCACTGAGGTGTCTTACGACGAGCGATCGAAGCTTGGCCACACAAGAATACGCAGAACAATCGCCGTGTGTTGTTTTACGAAATTCTTGAATTATTGATCAAGTTGTTAAGGGTATTAGCAAATAATTCGGTGAGAACCGAGAAATTTATTCTGAATTCCAAATTAATTCTGGAAACATCATTCATGAGATTGCTCACCTTCTTGTAGGTGATTTCACCACCCACGCCGACCCTCCTATGTCCGATCTTCCTCTCCCTCTCGGATTTTCCCCTCGACATGCCCGAGGGTGTCTTCGGCCCTCCACTTCCATGTTGTGCAACTGAACTCTAAAATACAATCAAACAATTTAATCAATTCATCAAAAGTAATCCACTCTTTTTGCCAATTGTTATACTTGATTACACTGGCTAAACTAGAGCCGCTGCTAGAGGTACTGGATTCAGTCTTGACCCACATCACGCTCGACTAAATATCCATAAAATCTCGAAAACTTGAATTCTACTCTCAAAGGATTCTTATTATTCCTAAATAACGATCTGAGTCTCAATGAAATACTCCAAATTTACTCATTAAAGTAATCTTTCAACAGATAACTCTTTATCTCTCGATAAATACGGAATGCTGTGGCTAAATATGAACGTAATGAAATGAAAATCACAGTAGGGTAATGAACATCAAAGAGATTTAAAAATACTCACATCAAAGGTAACCCTCTCACCAGTTGTTGACTTGTCTGAAAAAAATAAAATACCTCAATTGAAATCCGTTATTCCATACATCGCTGACATAAATTGAATGACACGAGACCCATCGAACTCTCAATCAATAAAGCTGCTCCAAAATGAGACAGACAGACACGTGAAATGAATCAATAAAACTTCATCAAACCGGAACTTTTCCTCATGAATCGACACCGGAGACAATTCTCAATTGAAATCGAGAGGCAAAATCCCAAGAACTCCCTCACAAAATGAAAAATAAATCACACCTTGAAGCAATTGAGCCACTGGCTCCGCAAACACTTCTACGAATTCTGAATCACAATCGTCGATTCGATCAGCTGTCAAAGTTCACGCCCGCACAGGGGTAACACGAATTTATGGAAAAGTTGAATGAAGTGAAAAGAATCAAAGTTCCGAGTGAAATAAAAAATTCCAGGTCATGAGATGGTCCGTTGAAAGTCGAACGAGGAAAGAATTCCAGTTAGGCATTGGCTGAGGATGATGATAAAAATGAAGACCCGTTAATTACTTAATTCTAGGTTATGTATTATTCAAAATAATTACTGACAAAAACATTAAATAAAAATTTACCATCCTCATCGCCAGAGTCATTGAGCCTCGAGGATACGTCGTCGCCTCTGTTTCCACCCCCAAAGCTCGTCTCGACGACTTCAATCACATCCACATTGTCCCCCGAAGCCATTTTGTTACTTTAAAAAATCCGGAGTATCCCCGACTCAACCGCGATCTTGACAGTTTGAGGGCCCGTACTGCATGCCAATTGATTGCATTTTCACTCCCCCAATCATCACTATTGTTGTATACGGAATCGTATACTCGAATCTGCTTGATTCATCGTTGAGTCACTCTCGATTTCTGCACTACTAGGGGGGAGTTTAATTAGTCGCTGTGAGGAATGTTATTTTTTAGTGATAATGGGGGAAAGAAAAACGCTCGAATGAGGGCCCGTTTTCCAGGGGCTACGAACACCCACTACTTTTCACACACAACTACTCGTCTTCCTCTTGTCTCTATTGACCGGTCGCCATATTCCAGTCTGGTTTATTACATGATTGCCAATGCTATGTACAGCGCGGGAAATTCAAATTTCTCGGATTTCACCGTTTGACTTGGCATTTAATTGAAAAAATCCACGGCAATTCGAACATTCGTAAATTCTGAAAATTTTTACGCGGCAGAATTTTATGATCCACTTTGAAAAAAAATTTTTTCAGTCGGGAAATCAGTTTCTTTTTTTATATTTTATTATTATTTCCGGATTCAGGATTATTTTGCGGGTTTTTTGGATTGAGTGATTTGGGGGAATTTCGAATATTGATTATTCTTATCGGAAATTTCAATTTCAAAACAGCTCACACTCAAAAAAATTTACTTATAGATTATATTGGGTTGTAAATGATCAGTGCAGAAAAGATAGATTGGAAGGCATCAATAACATTTATCTACATAGAAGACATTGAGTATCGTACATACATCTAATATAGTATTTTATGGAAGAAAAATAATCTCCAAGTTCAATGATCTCCTAATTCATTCAAAAAATAAACAGCAAATAGGTAAAAAAAAATTCAACATTGCTCCTCCCTGAATCTCCGAGAAAAAACATTATTTCTACATTCGTGCAGAGATTTCCTAAATTACCTCTATTTACTCGGTAGAAATAATGTTTTTTCTAAGAGCAGATAATGAAGTGAAGGTCACCCACATATGTCTCCATCACAAATGAAGAATTATTCTGCACTGATGACAGACTCACATGTGGATGACCGTCACTCCATCTCTTAAACGAGCAAAATATAGATAGCACCGATGAGACGATGCAGAGCATCGATATCAGCCGCTTCAGAATTATCCCCGATTCCTGCCTCAGTGAACGAAGGCTTGGATTTAATGTGGTAAAGCACGAGGTAAGAATTTATATTTTTAGTCTTCATAGGGTATCTTTCCCAGGTGATCTTCAGGATATCAGAGATGCGTTCCAAGATAAAAACCAGAGAGGCTCTAGAGAGTTTCTCAGTAATTTCCAAGCACTTGTAGTACTCGTGGAACTTCTCGATCGCGTTCGGATCGAAGTATGCTCTGAATGCTTCGCTGTAATTCGCCATGAGCATGTTCTTGGGAGTATCGGTGGACCGCGGGAGACGTTTGTTCAGGGTTGGGTACAGTTCCCTCGCTCTCGCGGTGGCAGTTGCGACTTTTGGATCCTCCGAGATCTTCAGACTCTCGATGTTGAGGACTAGGTCATCCACAGCGGGTGATTCCTCACCAGATTCAATGGCGGTGGATGCAAATTCGTTGGGAATTATGCCTTTGCTCTTGAGTAGTTCTCTCATCGCACCTGCGGCTTCCTGCTTCGCTTGCTTTTTTGTGAGAGCCGTTGCGCTGACACTCAAATTCCCAATTAAACATTCTACGGTGAATAAAGGCCTGTGGCTTGGGCCAGTGCTGGATTTCTCCAAGTACACCGGCTGCTGCATTTTACGAATTGCACACAGTTCCTGTGGAAATATTACCAATTCTAGATCATTTTCTTGTTGCGGAATATCTCACGACCTGAGGATTTTCATTATTTTCATAATTATAAATACATTAATTCCTTCGTTTAATTCATTTACAATTTATTCGTAATTCCAGAATTTGGAGTTATTATGAAAATTTGGAGAAATAAAATGTAGTGAAGCTACTTTTAGATTTATTTCACAACAGAATAGCGATAATCAGTGCGCAATAATCCGGATACTTTCGCAAGAACATCGAAATACGCCGAGACTTTAGGTTCCTGCTCTCATGATATAAACAAAGTTAATCCGTTATAAATGAAGAAATAAATTTACTCTATTAAATGCGATAAATCGAATGTTACACATTACTAAATCTATTCAATGAATATGAAAGCCCACATATAATTCAAATCGCTCAGGTAGTCAAATAATTCGATAGAAATAGAATTTATCTCGGAATAACACAATAATCTAGATTCGATTATTTGATTTTGACGTATTCCTCATTTATTGTAGAAGAATAATGAGCAGAGGTTTCGATAGCAATAAAAATTCCGAATCCCTTGATAAGAGAAATTTAATTAATAACAGATATCGAGTCAGAGCATATAGATCGATACGTACGTTTAATTTTCCAATGTGATTAATGACAGATCCAGGCGACGCGCAGGCCACTTCAGTTGGAGTAATGATCTTCTGGACAGCTGGTGAAGATGGAGCTAAAAATTTTAATTCCTCATGGATGATAGTGTAGTTGTATTTTTCGTTGAGGAGCTTAATCATGTTTCCAGCTGCGCATTGCTTAGCTGTCTTTTTGTTTGAAGCCGCTCCGTCGGCTGACAGACCCATGCACTCGCATCTGATAATAAAATGAGGAGTTTCTCCATAATCGAAAGGTATATCGGTGTAACGTGGAATACTTCCATGAGACTTTTGGATGAACTCTTGAAGTGCTGAGATTGAAGTCTTCGCCATTCTGCGATAAAATTACAGAACAATTTGCATATATTTCTCATCTGATAATTTCATTTCAAATTATGGACTACATTATCACTACATTATGGACTAATATAATTCAATAAGATAATATAATTAGAGACTATAGACTACATTAGAAAATTATCAATTCAAACGGTAATTCCTTACCTTTCCCTCGATTTGATCACAGGAAAAAATGAACAATGGAAATTAAATTCTAGGAAGTAAATTAAATTTTAAAAACTCTTTTATTTAGGAAAGTCATACGAAATAACAAAACCTTGAACAAATTCTAACACGAATAAATATTTATCCTCAATCTAACCTCAATAGAAATTTGAACAGATTAGAAAAAAATTCAAATAATCAAAATTGAGCGAAAAAATTATCTTAAGTTAAAAACATTTTTTATTATAATAATTGCAAGTGCATTAATCAACCGGTGGAAAAACTGCGAGAAAGTATATAATAACCGGGAAAACTGGAGTTTTTATGGATTTTATGAAAAAAAAACTGGATTTTATGAAGAAATCGCGGATTGAAAAGGGACGAGAAAACGAACCTTATCTACTCAGATGAAACACGCGCTACCAATAATTGGAATCGCTAAGGAATCAAAAAAAAAACACAAAACTATCGAACGACACAATACTGATTATAAATGAAGAACACTAGGACGAGCTTTTGGTGTGAACGGGCTGATGCAACCACTTGGAGTGACAGGAAGACTAGAATGATCTTCTGTGGACGAGAGGCTTCTGCAGTAAAGGCAGGAATCAGTGATTGAAGTACGTGGCCTTCTCCAATTGACTAGCTTCTTCACATTGACAAGCCCCAGGGAATACCAGACCCCCTGAAGCATCACTGCAGTCCTCATGTTTCAATGTCGAAATCATTTTTCCACAGGAGTATACCACCAAGAAAACAACCTAATTAGAACGAATAATAACTTAACTATTAAAATTCCTGACTACATTACCATAATTATAGTTTCATAATCGAAAAATCGTCTTGATTTCTCATAATTTCGTCCAAATTTCCACTGCACCATGTATCACGCGACTATCATGATGCACAACACTAAAGAGGATTGACTAAAGTAGAGGCTCAGTTCTGGGGGTTGGAGTAACCACAGCGGCATCGTAGTACTGCACCCCAAGAGAGGGAGGACGCCACACGCAATGGAGGTGTCTATCCGTCAGCAAGACTCGGTAACTGCCTCAGTAGCAGTCCCGCTGTCAGAAGGACCAGTCGACGAGGTGTAAGAGTATTGTTTCATTAGTATATTTCTTCAATATATTGAATATATCCGCACCTTGCGATATAAATAGTAAAACAAATCGTAAATTATAAAATAGCACTCCAGATAAAAAATTGCAAAGAAAATTATATTGAAATAGATTTTTATTTAAAAGCATCTCCACAGCACATCGCACTAAACATTGGTCTAATAGTTAAAATTAGATTCGGTCTTCTCCACCTGAAAATATCGTTGAGATTGTGATGTTTCCAGGGGATCCAACAGTATTCCCCTCAAGCTACCCCCATTTGATTAATATAATTCGGGTCGAATAATCTTACCATTATTCCTTAGATCAATTTTCAGTGGTTGGATCACCCTACGTAATGACTAGGTTAGTAGAACATTTCATGCAATCATTTTTTGTCGCTCTCGACAGACATTTCAAAATCAATAGTATAAAAAACATGAAATTATTCACAATATTGTTGAAAAATGTTTTCAACTCAATTTTTACGTCGTTATAACAAATATTCAATTCACGTAAATGCAATAGCATTCGCTTTGGCAGTTAATTTTTCATATTGATTTTCAATAATATCAATTATCAGGAATAAGGATTTACTGTACCAATCGTAACTTATTCTGAATGTGAATTACCGAGAAATAGAGAATACCGAGTGAATACAATATCTTGATTACAATAATCTTAATCATAAATCTCGAATAGTTGAGAATTTCGTTAGAAAGCTGAACTAGGGGAGAGTGGGCCAACATTATTTATTCTTATTGCACATTTTGGACAATTGGATTAATCCACATCCATAATAAATTTGATAAAGCTGAAAGCACAGGCATCAATTATCACTTTTCACTCTCTGTCACCATCTCCCCTACAATTCGTCTTTCTCCTGATCACAAATCCTATCATAATCCTTAGACATTCCAGAACAACTTCGACAATTAAATAATTTCATCATTCGGACGTATCAACTGGAGGGGAGGGCCAAGCTCTGATTGAGGCCGTCTCTCTCTGACACTCTGAAAAATTCTCTCTCATCAATCAATTAAGTAAATTTGATTCTTTCTTACGTTAATACAGAAATATATTTATGTACATGTACGTATAAAGTATAAATCTAGTTCAGTCCGGGAAAAATAACGCAATAAATTCACTCAATCAAATTACACCGCGGCCCCCTATTAATAAAAGAAAGTGTGGAAAATAAAAAAATGAAAAAAAAAAATGCGACTGAGCTGCCATAGGACTCTAAGCACCAGGAAAATCATCACAAGCGGAGGACGAGTCATTTATTGAATCGTATTAAACTACGAGAATATCATTCATTGAGTTTTTTCAATTCATTCATTCACTCTGAAGTTGTGAAATTTTTTGTGTTTCAACTTCACCAGCGAATTCGGAGTTGTCACGTTATTTAAAGAAAAAATAATTCAAAAACTTCGAGTTATACTGTCGAAGTAGATAAGCTGCACTCTCGACGATTGCTGAGTGGAAAAAAATGAATTTCACCTCGCTCTCACTCTGAACAGATTGAACAACTTCATCAACGATCAACATTAGATTCTCTAAAGAAAAAACGATATATCATCTCACTATATTTAATTTCTCCTCGCTAGAGTTGATCTCTAGAAATGCAGGAATTATTTATCGTCTTCAGCTTTCATCGTTCTCTCACAGTGAGAAAAATTTGAGGAAAGTCTGCGGTGGGATGGGTACGTGGAGGGAGGATTGGTCGACGTCAGCGAGTTTCTCTTGAAATGCGGGATCCTGGTCAGCGATGCAGGGATGACCCAGCGATCGCCAGAAGAGGCAACGGCAATTCCGACATAATTGGATCATCTCTGCGTATTCCTCGCGAAGTCCAAAAGATCTTTTTTCAAGAGATAAAATCAATATTTTATATCCTTTGACCATTCAATTTTTCTAACAACCCCAGATATTTATGAGAATCGCAAAATAATGCTTACCTTCGAGCTAATGTGAAGATAGTCTTCCAATCCTTCCCAGGATTGTTCTGCATTGTTGTTGCAATCTGTTGCGATGTGAAATGATATTGTGCAAGCTCTCGCCATATTCTCTGTTCCTGGGCAAGAACCGCGAGGTGCTCGCAAGCCTCCGAGGAGGCCTCGATGTCCCGTGGATCACTGAGACGCAGAAGAACTTCCCTCCGACACTCGGCAGGCAAATCAGCCCATTGAGGATGCTGTTCTTCATCCGGCTGGAAAAAATTGACATCAATTATTATTTCAAAACATCAACAAAAAAAAGATCGAAAACCGAAGTCGACAGAAAAATTACGTAACTCACGTAAAAATGAATTATAAATACAGAAATATCTGTCTTTCTCAATCCATTGAGAAATACTTTCAAATTGAGAAAAACTACGGATTCGAATGGAAATATTAATCTGTCGTCTGGGAGTTTCTCTCCATTTTCCGTAGAAATCATAAAAATGGAAATTTCACGTCTCACGATTACGTGAGTTGTCACGTAATTTATTCTCAACTTTTTCCTCTCTGTCCGCGTAATCCTTACCTGAGTTATCGTGATGGAAGACGCAATGTGGAGGATTCGGTCGAGTGCAGCTTTGTGTTTCTCCCAGAGGATGACTGAACCGAGGGGTCGCCCGCCCCAGCAGCATCCAGCGCTGAAGGCACGTACGCGTTCAATCAGTCTACGGAGTTTTCCCGTTTGCTGTTGCGATAAGGAAACTGAAGACAAAGCGAAACGATATTCCACCCTATTACTTTACTCTTACTAGACAAAAGAATCCCTTTATCATGAGGAAAAACACACATTCGTCTGGACTTTGAGGACTGGAAATCCGGGGAACTGACGTTTTCACTCATCTCAAGAGCTTCCCCCTCAAAATAACAGAGAAAAATTAAACTTCTGATATTCATGATTGAATCGAGATTTTTAAACGTTTTCTCCTTGAATAATCAAGACAATAATTATACTGAGAAAACTTACGAGCGGAATGTAATTGAGTTTTCAAGGATTTTCTCCAGTTTTCAATGATCTTTGAATTTATTTCAAGTTCGATGGAGTAATTTTAATGAATTTACCTTCTAATGCAACTTCCTCTAACATATTAAAGAGAACCCGCTGGGCACAACCACTCAAACCCCCCATGGTGTGGCTGACCAACAGGTCCAACAGTCTGACAATGTAGTTGAAACGTCGACAATCGTGAACAGCTGACAGAAAATCGAGTCTCTTGAGTGCATCGCTGAGTCCATTAAATCCGGCAATCTGTCAAAATGAGGAAGCCATCATGGAAAAATTATTCGACAAACAATATTCCACATGAAGGTATGAGGAATAGCGAGTAGCAGAGTAGATTGCCGATTTTTCTGAAAATATCCCCTTTGACATTTTATCCTTTTTTAATGACTCCCAAAACGTCACGATCGCGCAATAATTTTCCTGTGTATTTTACCATTTTTCTTGAATTCTTAAAACTTTAGAAAAACATATGAAAATTATTGCACGTTCATAAAAATTCGTGGCTCATGAAATAATGATTAAAATAATATATTTTTTCATGTGAGTCCCATCAATAATTTGAGAGAAAAATTTCCAAAACTTGAATTTTGGAAAAATGGGGTTGAACATCATCAAATCAATTATTCCTGGATATTCAGTTTGCCGATGCTAGACCGAAAATCCTCACGTCCTGAGGAGCAAATGTGAGATCTAAATTTAGCGAGATTTAACACCGGAAGAGTCACTCACCTCGCGGGTACACTTCAGGGTTATATGACAGTGTGGTTGGACGGCATTTTCTGGAGAATAAAAGAAAATCAGTGGTGAAAAAAATTTCCCCTCTTGTATTTCCCGGACTAATTTCATTCGCCATTTTTAGACTCACCTTTTTTCTTCTCCTTCTCTTTTTCCCGCTTGTCTCCCTCTTTATCGGTTCTGGAAGTCAGGGGAAAAAAACTTTATTACTCATGCACTCCTGAGAGTCACTCGTGAAAATGTGAAAAAGGCGTTTCTAGTTTAAAGAGCTGACGTCAATAACATCCGGCCAATGTCAATTCGTCCTTTGGATTGAAATAAACAGGATTATACAATTTTATAAATTGTGCTCATCTACCCTGAGATAAATAGACGAATACATCTGACTGATTGATAATGACATCAATTTCGATTTTATTGCCACTAGCTGAGGACTTTGAGCACCTCATGATTTAGATATCTGCAGTATCTGAACCAAAAAGGTCACTCCCCTCTCCCGACATTCATTAGAATTTCACTCATCACATCTTCCTCTCTCCACTTCCTCGTTCATCCTCATTTTTAATATTCCTCACATGACTAAGAGCATGAAAAAAAATTGTAGAGTGCTCATGTCCCCTCATTATACCCCGGAGTAAACAGACCGCAGAGCCTTCCCATCATGCCCTTCACTATCAAAGAAATAACTTTCGTAAGTTCTCATTTGGAAATCTCTCAATTCCCCTGAATTTCCACATGATGAAAAACTTAATTGCATGAATTTTTAAATTACACACGCGTGTAGAGGATATATGCGAGTTGTTGAGAGGTCGTACTAGCAGCAGACGCCGTTCCATGTCAACGAAGACCTTGGGTTGATCCGATTATGCGTCGCTACCCAGAGGAAAACCTCGTGTGCGTTTCATCCCGTGGAACGTTAATTCTTGCGGTTGGATATTGCGCAACATATCATGACATCCCATTTCGTTGCGATTCAATGGCTCCTTTAAACTTGTACCAGCCAATTGTCCTGACGGTTTTATTTTTTTTATTTAATTGGAAAACATCCTTGGCCCAGGACAACCCAGTGACCTAGTTTTTCCCATCGGGTCAAACCGATATATGGGATTTCACTCATACCCCTCCAATCCCTGGAGATTGGCAGTCTCAAGGCTGGGGATTCTCCTCTTGTCTCCGGGGTGATGGCTTGCACGTGACCAATAATTCATTACAACAATTACCGAACACACAAATCTGTTTTTATCCTCTTTTCCGCACCGAAGAGATATTAAAGATCTCTTTAAGTTTAATCGCTGCTTTGGATTTATTTTTTATATAGTCTGTGGGAATTAAAAAAATATATCCCATTGGCTCGTATATTTTATATATTTTATATATTTTTAAAACTGCAAATTCTATCCAAATATTCCGCGACAACTGAAAGAATGGAAAATATTGATATGGAAATTCATACAAATTACAGAATTTCTCATTCTTTGTACCAAGAACTTCTTACGAAAATTCTTGAACCGAGAGCTCCTGAACGATAAAAACTGGGCAATAAAATAGTGAAACGAAGTCGAATCCTTTCGACATTATCCCCAGACTAATGCCGATTGCCCCAGTAGCAAGATAACGATGCAATAAAATTCATCCCGACAATCATCCCAAAGAAAGTGCGACGCCAGCGGCTACGACCATTTTTGACATTCCAAAAAAAACAAAACCAGCACCATAATCGACGAATAGCCAATACATCTCACCTTAATCAATCTTAATTCTCCCAACAATGCAATTGCACTTTGTTCACCATTTTCCCCACCATATTGTGGCAACAACCGGAAGCACCAAAATCCATGAAAATCGCGAGTTCTCGCCCCGATGAAACCCTCTCACCACCCACCTCAAAAATAAACCTAACAAACCCAAAAAAAAAATAGAATAAAAAAATAAACCGATTAAATCAAGGATAAATCCCCTAACGTAAACATCGGTGAGTAAACAAAGATGTCGACATGATCAATCCAACAGCTGTGATTCAACGAACAAAGAGCATCTCTCACCCCAACCCCCAATTCCCCCAAACAAAGGTAATTTTCCCAGAAAATGGCGACGTTAAATTCACTCACCGAATCAGCAATGAAAGTGTCTTGTTATTAGCACACTCGAGTATTTTCTTCTTCTCCCATCCCTCGACTGTTTTAACCCACTCCTCACCGGGGCTCCTCCAGTCCTTGGAGATGAACGGCATGACACGATAAAAAATAAATAAATAAATAAATTCTTCTTGTATTCCAGGTGTTGACAATTCCTCGAAGGAGTCTTCCGCGAGTACGGAGTGTTTTGTATCTCCTCACTCGCGGGACTGATGGCTACTGCCAATTTATCCTCATGCGCATGGCTCTGTTACCGTGACGTCAGCATCAGCTGGCCACTGCGTCGACGGTGTCGTCGGTGTCGTCGCAACTGTCAAAACTGCATTACCTCGGGAGTCACATCCCCAGATGTCTCTGACAACTTACCAGTCAACATCCAGTCACCGATTATTTCTTGGAATTCAGGGAACCCCGAGAGGTGGAGACGTCAAACATTTTCCCCCTGAAGACGACGATCTACGTTTCGACGTCCCTCTCGTGTCCACCTCGTCGTGTTGTGTTAGGTTTCATCGGTTTTATCGGTCTCATCGGCTCGTTGGGGCCACAGATTTACTCACTGTGTCACTGTGAAATGAAAAATAAGGAAAACTCTCCGAATTGTCGACAAGTGGAAAATTTCGAGTGACGAATACACCCTCCGGGAATAGAGGCCTAACGTCGCACCCGCGGCACCGAGACTTGCGTCAGCTGGACAGTGGGATTCGGAACAGCGGAACATCTCGATGTTTCTTTTTTTATTCTATTTATCATCTTTTTTTTACTCGGAATTTTGCACGCTGGATCACGAGTGTGTGTGAGAGTTTGATGGCCGCATCTCGACGCCTTATTTTATTGTTTGAGTGAGACAAAACACGGATTTAACGCTGTGCGGTGTGAATAGACTCTCGGGGCCAGGGTGTCGTCGACGTTAATTTGTGGTCGAGTGTGACCTGTCGTTGGGAATTTTTAAATCGTGATTTATTTTTTCGAGTAATCCCGAGGACCGAGGGATAGGTCGATCGAAGGTGGGCGGGGCGGGAGGAAAGGTGAATTGAGATATTTTTTTGTTTAAACAGACTATTCAGCCCGGACGATGAAAATAGGATTCAATTGAGCCAACTACGTCATTGAACTGGTTTTTCAGTGGATGTTGGAAGTAAACAATTTATGGTGATTGTCAAGTGATCGACGGTTGGGAGAAACGGGAGAAACGGTTACGTCGGTGTGAAATTGTGGATTGGTATTGTTTAGCCTCGTGTAGTGATTCCTCGAGGACTCCTTTTATTTTCTTCAGGTTCTGGGGGTGATTGTAAGGTTGAGGGGTACAGGAGTTGAGGTCATGCTTGGTCAACACAAATGACAGGACGGGGGAGAAACCGACAGGGGAGACAGTGGAAGCAGCTATCGCCAAGGCTGACCTAGCACAAAGGTATGGTTGAATAGTTCTAGATAAGGGATTTTTGTTGGGGTGATAACGAGTGACAGGGGTGGTATCTTCCGTCGGGTTCACGACTTCTCATCGGCCAACTCTGGGCGGGTTTATTTTTACGGAGAGTCGTACATATTTTATCACGAAGTGCTAGTATTGGGATAGGCATGAGTTGATAAGGAAATATCTGAAGAGAAGTTAGGTATCGAATTAATTGTTTTCGAATGGGATATATTGTAAGGCAAAAAGGGATTGATTTCGTTGTCGATCAATTGATCTTTATTTTTAGGGTACGCAAAGTTTTATTGTTCTGTCAGTTTTTGAATTATGAGATTCTTGACACGAGGAAAGAGGGACTTCTCTGAGGAATTTTCTTTTTCAGGATAAAGTAGGGTAAGTGCGTTTTTTTTTTTTCGAGGGTAATTTTTCGTAGATGTCTTGGGAGTGAACGAGAGGAGTGCACATTTTCATGTGAATTTTTTTGTAGCTCTCATGTTCCTCTACAGATCGTGTATGTCGGGAAAATTTTATTATCCTCTTTTAGTTTCGAAATATTATCTAAAACTGACGTACACACTTGAATTATAATTTTCATTAAATTCATTTCCGCCGGATTATCCACTAAGACCGCCCTTGAACCGCTGTTTAAATGTCTCTGAACTGTATTTTAATTGAAGTTTAATAGCGAAGCGAATATATTGGTCGACTCGTGTTATAGTGGTCTCAAGGGGAAAGCCACAAGTTACACTTTAGCAGTATCCTGTCTTTGAAATTAATTCCCTGTGGGTTCCTAACTAATCGAACAGCATGGGGTGGAGAAGCTCGAGAATAGGAAAAAGAAAAGAAGCGAATGCTTCCTGAAATGGATGAAATACTGGGGTAGGAAGCATGTCGGAATTCAATCGATATACTATCCCTGATTCATTTCCCCGATGAGTGGAATGTTAAAAATTCCGCGAACGATGCGAAAGCAGGAGCAGAATGCATTCTACTCTAATTATCGCACGGCTATTTCTCATGGTACTCATTATTACGGATTATTAATTACTTGTACTATCCTGGGGATTTTCCAATGGTAGTAGAAAAACATGGGGAGTAAAAAATGAAATGAAATTGGAATTGGGTGGAATGGGGAGAATCTCGAGACGGTCAATACTCGTAATAGGATTTATCTTCGAGAAATTATGTCTCGACGTACAGCGGAAGTTTTACGGAGGATTATTATCGGATGTCAATTCATCTTGAATTAGCATTCCACTGTGAATTAACCTTCGCCTATAGGTGCAATCCTCTGCTGCAGTGGCACTTGTACATTTCTTCGTGAAATCTGCAGTACTCGGTAAATTCCTCTCATTCATCCCCTATTTCTCTCCCCAATGGAATGAATCTCCGTCGTTATTTCCTGCATTTTCCAATATCCGTAAACGAGTCAATCTGCATTTTAATTTTTTCCCTTGACACGACCTGCCATCGATCTCCAATAGAGAATTTCATATATTTTTTTTTTTCCCCTTCCATCCAATTATGAATTCATCCCCGGTTGTGCCACTTCAATTACAGGTTTTTCCATATTTATATTCTCAACTTGGAACTAAATGAATTAATTAAATGTCAAACTCTTGATCCTGAATTCAATGAATATGTCGTAGTTGCGCGATGCATCGGCGATTGGGGCACAGCAATTACGATGGAAAAATTGCTGGTCTTTATGACCTTGAGGAGACCCTGGGCCGTGGTCATTTTGCTGTTGTCAAATTGGCCCGTCATGTTTTTACGGGTGAAAAAGTTGCGGTGAAGGTTATTGATAAGAGTAAATTGGATGAAGTCTCCAGGGCTCATCTCTTCCAGGAGGTAAACAATCATTTTATTTTTTTGTTTTTTTCCTTTTGGTGGATTTTATCCTCTGAAAGCACAATGAGATGGAATTTCGTGGAATTTCAGGGACAGATATTGGAGGATTTTTAGAGGTCCAATTGAATTTGTTGAATGCTTCAGGAAATTTGTGGTTTATGTGGGAAATTTGGCGAGGTTGAGGTTTTCTCATATTTTAGGGATGACGAACCGACGATGACATGAATTCTGAAGGCCAATTGGAGAATTGAATATAAAATTAAATTTAATTCAGGATACGTTGGTAATTAACTATCATAAAATGAAAATCCGTATTTCCAGTCAATTCTCCATAATTGGAATAATGATGAGTTTGGCGTACATTGGGGAAATTAAATATTTCATTGCTTTTAATCCTGGGTGAATTAATATTTCCAGATATTAGTTTGAATTTCTCCGAATTTTTGGGAATTAGCAGTCATATTAAATCTGTTAAATATTGAATGGTTATTCAATTAAAAAACTTACTTGCAATCTGATAAATTATTTTCCATCAGGCATCTCTCGTTGCTTCAATCGAATTTTATCGTTATCGATTTGACGGTACAAATCGCCACTAATTTCCTGATTTTGTCGACTATTATTAATTCAATTGAGAATTCCAGAACAGTCCCTCAAATATCCAATACTCCCACACAAATGTTTTCCAAACTAAAAATCCTTTTGCCATTCACAGAGAAAGATATTCAGTATAAATTACGGAGCGCTCTGAAATTCCGTAACAATTCCGCAAAATTTGCTTTAATCACATTTAATTGGGGAATTATCCGCATATACGTAATTTCAATAGAATATTTTCCAAAATTTTTTATCACCCCAAGTGCAATATTCACCGGAATATTTTTTTCTGCCTTGAATTATTGAAAATTGACAAATAGTTAATTAAAATAACTTAGAGAATAATTGAATATTTAATCCTTGATTTTGAAAAATTCGCCGAAAATTTTCTATCACTCGAAGTAGAACGTTAAAAACCGCAAATAAAACATGAGCCCGTAAAAAATCCCATCAGGTAAGATGTATGAAGCTGGTGCAGCATCCGAACGTCGTTCGACTTTACGAAGTCATAGACACCCAGACAAAGCTCTACCTCATTCTGGAGTTGGGCGACGGTGGAGACCTTTACGACTACATCATGCGTCATGACAGCGGTCTAACTGAGGAGGTACTGTATCTAGCCAGAAGCCCTGACACAGTCATAAAGACACACATCCCCTTTATACTCACCCTATATATTATTATTATTTTTTTTTTATACCTGTCATTTCAGCTTGCAAGAACGTACTTCAGGCAGATTGTGAGGGCAATCTCGTACTGCCACCGTCTTCACGTTGTGCACAGAGATTTGAAGCCCGAAAATGTTGTATTCTTCGAGAAACTTGGTACTGTAAAACTCACGGATTTTGGCTTCAGTAATAGATTCTGCCCGGGACAAAAATTGGAGACATCCTGTGGCTCGTTGGCTTACTCCGCACCGGAGATACTACTCGGTGATAGTTATGATGCACCAGCAGTTGGTGAGTACTTTCTTTATGATTTATTCATAAGTAGTCAAGTATTATATTTTTTCAATAAAGCTTACAGTCTATGTTTCACTCTTTTCTATAATATTCTCCTTCTTTAAGTAACCAGGAATAATTCCATCCTTTTTTTTTTCATTTTTTTAATTAAAAAAAATTATTATCATTTTATTGCCATCCACGAGGTACGAATACATGAAATCAACCGTTGATTGGTTGGAAGATTCGATTAATCCGAATTAAATCATTGGCCTTATATTATATTAAAATTCAATACCAGAATTTAATAGAGCGCCGGAAGGAACGCGAGGTAAAGGGGCACGACGTTAATTGCTTTAAAAATTGTTTTGGGTTTCAGCTCTCGGGTTGTGAAACGTGTACAGTAAAAAAAATGGTGTCAATATTTTTTCAGACGTTTGGTCGTTGGGGGTGATCCTGTACATGCTAGTCTGTGGCCAAGCGCCATTTCAAGAAGCCAACGACAGTGAAACATTAACAATGATAATGGACTGCAAATATTCGATACCATCGCACGTGTCGGAGGAGTGCAAGAGACTGATAGCAAAAATGTTAGTGCGAGAGCCGGAGGGTAGGGCAAACCTTGAGGAAATAGCCAGTGATCCATGGCTCGGTATATCAAATGACACAGACTCGGACACTGTCGAGGCACTACCCCTTGTGTCGAGGCAGCAAGTATCAGAGGAGCATCATAATTTAATTATAACGAAAATGGTCAATGGTAATATTGCAACGAAGGAGGAGATACTCGATGCACTCGATAAAAACGAGTATAATCATATCACAGCAACGTATTTTCTACTGGCTGAACGGAAATTGCGAGCTCAAAGGCAGGAGCTCGATGCCAAGGCTCGCCCTGAACTGTTGAACGTCAGCTCACGGTGAGTTACAAAATAAAATAACAACAACAATAATAATACACAAATAAATTATAAATGGAAGCCCTGATTATTTTTTTTGTGGGATTAACGAAGAAATTTAATTATTTTGATCGACTTATTGCGAGTGACTCGTGTCAATCAAAGCCTTACTAAACATAATTATGAATGTGTGAATGTGAATGCAGAGAATAATTACAGAGGAAAAAAGGAGAGAAGCTAATGATTTTCATTGATATTTTTTCATTGAAGAGCTCAATGAGGAATTATTATTTATATGAAAAAAAATTTTATTAAATTATTTTTACAGTCGAAGCCACGATCTCAACGTAAATGATCTGCGAGTCGATCAAAACTCACTTGGCAGTGTAAATCAATCACACCTGACAGTCCCTCGTACCCCAGGAGACGTACCCCAGGTAACTAGTGATACGAACATATACCGAGCATATCATCGAGCCTAGCCTTAAGCAATCAACCAACGAAAAAAATACATATATATCTGAGCCAAAAATGTACATAAACTGTTGCTGATACTGTCTCAAATTGTAAATCAAAATCCCCAATAAAAGCCCTGCGACAATATCCGTGGAGTTATCCCCCCTGAAACGCATGCAAAACCACTCAACAAAAAACAGACACTCTCTTCGTTTCCAGAACGTTCGAATCCGCAAATGCAGTATCGTCCAGGAAGAGGAGGACGAGGACGACGTGTCCTCGTGTTCAGGTCGTGACGAGCACGGTAGTAATTCAGCACTGAGTACCTTCAACCGTCGTGGCTCAAGATCGGAGGGAAAATTATCGCACCTCCTGCAGGAGCGTCTGTCCCAGCTGCCAGAGAAACACGTACTGAAGCCACCAGTTCGTCAGCTTCATCCACAAGAGACAAAAGCCTCGCCAAGTCACACATTCACTGTCATCAGAGTGGACGACACAAAGAGCCAAGATACAAGACACTGGAGAGAAGTCACTGGCCCAGAAGTAAAACCCAAATCGGTAACAGACTGTTTTAAATCTTCTGGCCCAAGCAACAAGTGGCGAATCGAGCGTTCACTCATGACTGACTCGAGCCCCAAAAAATCAGATGATTTTAATCTCGACGAGACACCTACAACAATTCTCACTGAATCCTCAACAGCCCCTTCGCCCCTTCGCTCTCGTACCACTGACACTGTACCCAGATATAAGACAATGCCATCGCCAGTGACAACGGAGCCAGACAATACCCTAAAAGAAATACTCGAGGATGCAGACGGCACTGAGACAAAGCCAGACGATATGTCAGGTAAATGCAGAGTTGTGCGGAGAATTGGATACGAGCAGAAGCGTAATAAATTTCACAAAACACGTACAACTTCATGCTCGAGCTCTGACGCCAGTGATGATGACAGCGAAAGCAGGAAAAAACGTGCTCACAAGTTTGGAGGCACACCTGGTAAGCCTCTACCATCGCGGCGAGACAGTCACGACGACTCGAGTGACTCGCAGGATCCTGGGGGTAATTGTGGTGGTGCCAGGGGATTCAATAATGGTGACAGTGTCCAGGAGGCCGCCACCACAGACACGAGAGGTGGGAATGGTCAGGAGGGCACTGGTAATACCTCGAACTCATCAGGCAGCGGCAAAGCACCAGGTAACACTGATAATCAGGCATTGTCCTTCAGTAGGAGACACAGAGCGGGGATGAGAAGAGCAGGGGAGACTCGATTACGTGAGAGTCAATCATTGAATCGTATAACTGAGGTGCAGGAGGCGGAAACACCCGTGTGTCACTCAGTAGTCAAAACAATTGTTAATCAATCTGTTTCGTCGTCTTCGTCGTCATCGTCGGTATCACGGACTTTGACGATTAATGGCGTGACACAGGTATCTCAGAGCACTGTCCAGCGGGCCAAGGGATTCGGGGCGAGATTATTGCAGGGATGGAGTTTGAGGGGAAGTGCAGATAGTTTCGCTGGGGATGAGAAAAGTGAGGAGAGTAAGGATGAGAGAAAGTCCTTGAGTGTTCTCGATAAGGAGAATAGAGCATCTATAAACAAAAGTGACTGCAAGAGCAGAAAAATTCGACTATTGACGAGGTACTTTGCTGTACACAAGAAACTGTGTGTTCCTCTTCCTGGGTTCTTTGGCAAGGGAAAGAGCTCTCTCTATAAGGCACGATCGTGTGGAAATATATCCAAGGATCGAGTGTCACCGCCATCACCAAAGTCGATGCTACTTTGCGCCCCTGAGGACAAGTGGAGGGGACAGTGGTGTGAGAAGCAGCATCAGCATCGTGGCAGTGATGGTGATATCAATCAGAATTTGGGGCTTGCACAGTTTGTACAAGAGAGTGTTATGGGAAAGGGCTGCACTGGATTACCCCCCATCTGTCATATTCACCTGGGTGATGCCTCAAAGTGCTGCAGCCTTTGTTGATGATGCCCTGAATTATCAGGGGAGACACAAGTGCAATAATTACTGTGAGCCTGAACTTTAACTCTTCGTTGGTAGACAACGATTATTTTTCGGGGGATCGATGTTCCATGAATGTCGGTCAAATATTTCTGGGGCAGTAGAGAAAATGATCGAGATGGGTTGGAGGGGTTTTTTTTTTATCGGGCCATCTGATCACACATCCATGATCTAGTCCATAGATGTATTTTAATCGTTCCAGAGTTTATTAGAATTTTTTTTCTCTTTCGTGTTAACACTGATGGAATTAGCCGAGTATTATTGCGTACGATATTTGGGATCTGGGGTGACTCGTGGTTGGGGGCTTTTTTTTTTTCTGTTTTTTAATTTTCCACTCTTTGATTTATAAACTCGCTCGTTTTCTCTCACTGCGTTGGCGCCGTATTTTTTTTTACCCTTCAGTTGAAATAATTATTCCTCCGTCCCTCGGTGCTTCCTCGTTCTCTTCCCACCTCCACCCCCAACTTATCCTCCCACAACTCTTCTCTCTACTTGTAAGTAAAAATGTAAATTAATAACGTTGAGGCATTGGTGCTGGTTATGAACGCAAGCTTCCAAGTTGTCTCAGATTTATCAATGACTCATGTGGGTTCGTGCACTCGTGGAAAAGCAGTATTTAATTCTGGCATGACGATAATTTTTAAAAATGTGGAAAAAACATTTTTTTTATTAAACCCATGAAAAAAATTGGACTAAACGTACAAGTGCTGCTGTCTCGATATTGTTTCGCGCATTGTTCAGATAATCTCGTCTCATCTCATCCCATTTCCTCCATACAATAGTCTCGAGGATATAAAAGAAAAAAAAATATATAAACGTAATAATAAAAACCATGAAATCTGCGTGAAAAGCAATTACCCGAGTGTTTTTGTTGGCCACCGCTTTGAGAACCCGTTGCATTCTCATTTCTCCCTCTCCCTAATTTTTTATATGCATTAAAAAAAAACGATGGATAAAGCGGTGTGCCACTATACTCCTTGTACGAGCACAGGGATGTTCATATGTACCTATTGTCGAATTATAACGATTACCTACATGTATGTACCGAGCCAGACGTTTACCTAGAAATAATACAACATTTATTTATTATAACAAAATTCACGAGTCAACAATTAATTTCACCTTTGTCTGTAAAAACCAACAAGTGTTCTCGTAACTCGTGTATTTATCATTCCACATCAGGTAAGTCTTACATAATTTACATAATACTGATAGAATATACGAATCGGTACAAAAATAGTTGAAGCGCTTAAATGAATCTCGGCAAAAAATGGGAAGGACACGGAGGAATAATATTCGTGTGTAATCGATGGAAGTTAAGAAATTTGCATTTCAATTAGCTGATACAATTATGAAAATAGCAATTAATTGGAAAAAAATTATTTCACGTAATTCACTCGCGTACATCACTAGGTAATTCATTATTTTGCTATCACGGAATTATGGAAAATATTTGTAATGAGGAAGCTGAGAGTAGTTTGTGCGCTGTGACATGGTGATCAGTACCGGACGAATGTCATTGCATTAATTGGGCACTGAATTACTGTGGAATTGACGCAATTCGAGTGCAATTACCGGAAATACACTTATCATCCAGTCTTTTGAGTACTTCTTTGATTAACTGCAATCTCGAAGAGTAGATTATTCATATGGGACTAGATGGCTGACTTTCTAGGTGCATTAGCGCCTTCTTGCTGTTCTCCACGAATTCCTAATGGATATCGATTGATAATTTAACCATTTGTCCAAGTGCACTTGGCGTTCAATTAAAGACTATTATCAACTCACCATCAGACCACGGCTCATGAAATACGGACGATTAATTCCGTCGTTCCTGGCGCAATCCTCGCAGAAGCAAAGGAAAATCGTGTCGATGATCATCTGAGGAGTTGATGGGTTAATTTTGAAAGGGTTTGGGAATTATTTGAATAATTTGTTACCTCGTAGATGGAAATGAAACAGTGGGCGACGAGGAAGGCGAACACTCCAGCGATGGCTATCGGCACCCAGGGATGATGCAGTCCCTCTTTTTTCTGGAAGAGATGAGGTTGAGAAATCGGGGAAAATTTATTTTTCCCAATAAATTGATAAAAGACGATCAAATTAGAGATCATTATATTTCCATTCAATTTTCTGGCTCAAATCAATTTCGTTGGCATAAATATGTCGTCGAAGGGTCGGATAATTTGGTTTCTATAGGGCAAGTCGAATTTTCATGCTTTTGATCGTCAGGAGCGGAAAAAAAGTCTTAAGAAGCAGCTACACCACTTTCTGCAACCTAAACACTTCGAGATTTCACATCCTCCGGAGACGAAATTATACAATTCTTTTCCACTATCTATTCAGAAAAATCTGTCATATGGATAGCGAAAGAACGTCTCCTCGGGAGAAACTCCTGACGAACAGAAATTACACGAGTGAATTTTTTCTACGACTTTCATGATTTATTGGTACAATGTTGAATACATTTTCCGTTGCAGCACGCGGATGAGTTCTTGATGGAATCGAGAATATAAAAAATTCATAGTACCCAATAATCGAATTCGTAATAAAAATAAATGAAATGAACAAATTTTTGAAATTTTCTGAAATTGATAAATCGAGTAGTATTTTTTGAATGGACTCACCTGTATAAGATAAACTCCACAGAGAACAGTGAGAGCAACAACGAGTACCTTTCCCAAAAATAGGACGAAATCTCCAATGGTATTGATAGCAGCTACCCTCAAAATATTATCAGAGAGTGCACGAAATGCTTTTTTTCCACCGGTGCAAAAACTGCATCCGTAAATTGCTGTGGAAGCCCCCGAAAAAAAAATCCACTGTTTATCTACCTCCTGAATATTCATACAAGCGATAGTGAATAATGGCTAAAAAATACGAACCAGTCTCGATATAAGCGTTTCTCGTGAGAAATTTGAGACAACACTCAAAGCACCATATGCACCCCTGACAGCACCATAGAATTCCATGAACACAGTTATTATCATATCCCTTCAGTCTATTCTGAATGAATGCTACGATGGCACGGAGTAATCTCACAATACCAATGATCATGGCACCGAATGCCACTGTACCCAGATGAAATCGCAGCAAACAGCATGTACTGCGTGTCACTGGCAGTGACAGTCGTTTTTTATCCCTGCAAAAATGCCCATTTAAATCCCTCAAAAATTGACCAATTCATTTTTACGACTAAAAAATATACGTAGACCGCTATTTTCATCTCACCTCGTGAAAAACCATCGGGCTACAGCACCCGCTACCACAATGTGTTGACAGCCGAGATAAAATTCAGCCATTACGAAGTACAGAAAGAGATTGTACCACCTGGCAGTCTAAACAAAACATCAATTTTCATTACAACTATCCCCTACCCAGAGATGAGGCATCAAAATTATTTAACAAATGCTATATTTATTATTTTATTTTTATCACTCGAGGGCTGATAAATGAAATTCTTCCCTTTCTTTTCGTTCTCGAACTCGGAGGAGTCACTGAGAGAGCAATCGTTAGCGCAGAAATAAATTTTATCATTTTTAATAATTTATATTTCCCGTGGAGCCCGAAAGGCAGGAAATTATATTTATGGCGCGTGCATAATAATTCAGATCGCCGGAAATTATTCGTTCTTATAACCCAAGAAACTATTCGGTTACCTATCGAAATAATACAAGCCAGACTATGACCTAAAAAATCCGAGCAAAAATAGTGCAGCTAAAAATATTGAAAAATACTTGGAGAAATTCCTGCTAAAATAAATGAGGCCAACAATATTTCGCCAGTATAATACTCCCGCGCACTAAACAATTGGCATTTCTAGAAATAGTAAAATTAACAATTGCCACCCACTTTCATCATGATTTTGCCACCCGCGGGACAAATTCATGGATTATTTTCGCCCACGTCCCAGATATGACCTGGAAATAATTTCCATAACAAACTCACCACAAGTACTGCATCCTTCTTATAATGCAGATGATTCTTCCTATTTTTGTAGAGTTCCCCAGCGCTCTCGATCCAGAGTACACAGTAAGCCCAAGCAACAAAGGATAAACCAATGAGAAGATACGTCTGCAATAAATTTGCCCGAGTTGAAAAAAAAAAACGATAAAAAGGAGCATGAAAAATATCCCTTGAAATATCGACGGAAAAGTTGTCGGTAAAGTTTGAGCTTCTGAAAAATACTCACGTAAATGGGTTGAAGAAGTAACGCTGGCATCGAATAAACGGCTTTACCGGCTTCTCGAAAGAGTTGCACCACAAGAGCTATTCTTTTTCTCATAACGAGAACAACTAGTATCGTGACGACAGCAACAATTGTCATGAGAATAGCATAAATGAGATACGGCGTTACACTGGAATCGTCCACATGTATTTTACCCGTTTTAACAGCTTTATTCTCCTGATACCAAGCGAACCTGCGATATTGTACGAGTGGTTACGTTTAATAATCGTTGCTTGCCACTGAATTATTAAGCAAAGTGGAAGAAAGGAAATTGCATTACCAGAGATAAATTGTTCCCCCGATGGAGACGACAACTGAGCCACTGAGAACGATGTAAATTACGTACGATACGATGTATCGGAAAGCTATCAGAATACCGAGGGATATTGCTGTGGGTAAGTACCGGAATTATTTAGTGAATTGCTAAGAATTGTCATGAATACACTGGAGGAGTACTGAATAAATTACCTAGAGCAATTAGCAGGAGATAGATTAATTCACGCCAAGCGATGTTAAGATCGCTAGATGCTTCCTGCATAAATCAATACTATTATTTAAAACTGCGCTCATAATTTTAATTCTCATTAAATTCATTCAATATCAATCGTAATTCACTCGTCATTCTTACGTTAAAAAAACTCTCCAATCCCAGAGTTTTCAATACCGAATTAGCACTGGTTGATACCTTTTTTGGGATGCAACGGTTGAGGAACTGGATCCTGTGAATTGGCAAACAAAAAAATATTCAGTATTGGTTCTCCGAGTTGTTTTTGTTTAAATATTATTCTAGCGATAATACTGTTCCGAGTACTGAACCGATATCGAGGATTCGATCTTAACAGCGGTCACAGGTAAATATGAATTTGAAGATGGAGTTAACAGGAATCGATTTTATATGCGACTGGGAATAAAGTGAAATTTTATTGCGAGTTTAGGACTCGTTGACCGTCAATACCTGATGGATTAATAATTAATTTGATTTGGTAATTTGACAGTCGATACACAATCCAAGAATATATCGATCGAAATCCCCATGATATCGATGCTGCTATCGATTCGATATCAATCGTCAGACAATTTGAATTTGCGATTGAATTAATTTCTTTTTTTTTTTAATGAGTTGAGAGGAAAAATTGGAGACTCGGTAAAATTTACGAGAGGGGAAAAGTGCAGGACTTGATGAGAAATACTCACTGGTCACCGAAGCTACTGCAATTTGACACACACATCCGGCTTTTGACACCATTGGCACCCACTGTCACATGGAGATACTTTCGATCTCTCATGTCAGCGCCTTTGCAACTGAATTCGGGATTTGTCTCGGATGGTGTAATACGTCCGCAGACGTTGGCACAATCGTCATATCCATTTACCACACGGTGGGGATCACCTCGCCTGATGGCAGTGGTCATGAAGAATCCCTGTTTGAATGTTATCAATGTCGGTTTATTTTATTTTATATCGGTGCACGTCAGTACTTACAAATCCACCGACGAGCACGATGAGAATAATGAGTGCAGCGAGATCAGTGCACGATCTGTCCTGGGTAAAAACTTTTTCATCCTGTCCCAGTGATGGCTCCTCCTGATCAGACGTCTGGAAGACGAAAGTTTAGCTCTTGATTAATTGAGGATTTATGGTGTTGAGATTACTCCGGGTGGAGTTACGACGAATGGCTCTTGAATATTTCATTGAAAACCACTGAGTCAACGGACTTTCGAGTATCTCCACCGTTTTACTCTTGTGAAGCAGCTGCTGGATAAATACCCATTGAATTTCTAATATTAATTATCGGGAATGAACTTCAAGTCAATATTTCGATAGCTCCGTATTTTAAAGGGGGAGGGTCAGGTTGACAATAAATTGGGGATGGTTTACACTCTTTCTGCAGAAATTTATTTTTTCTTTCATTTGGAGGAGAAACTCACGATTGATGTGAAAAATATAACGTTTTGTAGTTTGTCATTGTTTAATGACTCGTGAAGTTTCAAGGCGGACTATTTTCCTGTTTTTTTTTTTTCTTTGAACTTTCAAAAAGAAATTATCGCACCACCAATAAACTTCGTGAGCCACTGAATAATTTTAAAACGCAAGAACATTCATTTTTATTCTATCAATTTTATATCTGATGATTGAATAAAATAAATTAAAATAATTTAATAAAAATGATTCAACAAAAAAAATGGGTGAAAGCGGGTGGAATATCCTTGAATAAAAAAATGTGATTGAATGATTACAGTTGAATTTTCTAGTTGCCCCGCATTTCGATTTTTTAATATTTTTATGGTCAATTATTCGAGGAAGATGAGGGATTCTTTTTTATTTTATCAGATTAATTAATCTGCTATGGTCACGAGTATATGGACTGCTGGGAATTACTCTCAAAACATCCAGTAAAAGCTTTTGACATTTTGTACGACTCGTTTTTATTAAACTCCCATATATTCGGTCATGGGAGGAACAGTTTATTGTTTGAAAATTCATAAAAAAGAAAGCAAATTCGATATTCCAATAGTATCGGACACTCACTCTATAAATAATTATTTAAAACATTCACAACAATGTAAATTTCAAACGGAATAGAAATATAAACCCCAAAGAGAGAATTAGAATTTTATTTCAGATATTTTCATATACTGGTAAATAAGAGACGTATATACTAACATACATGTGCATGCACATCCCCAATCTATATATTAGAGAATGCATTCATTGCCAAAATTCATCCGATAAATACGCGGATACAATCATCAGAAATTTCCACATGAACCCTGAGAAAAAAATTTATTTCTGCCAAATAAATGCTAACAATAAAACAAAAATATAACATATGAAATTCCGGCAAAAATTGTTAATACTGAAATTGAATGGAGTATGGACTGTTGTAAATGTTTATTAATAAAAAAAATGAATTACCCCAGGCTCAACCTTGGAGCCGTCATCGACACACCCGCAGCAGGCCATCCTGGATATGAGGAGTGATCTCCTGATCCTGGATACCCCAAGACAATCAGGTATGTTCTTATCAGGCCTCCTCTCAGTGGCACATCTAGTCTCGTTATCCACTCCTAAAATCCATCAAGCATAAGTTTCCCATAAATACCAATATACACCCCTGTCATTCACCCCGAAGACGCTGGAATGCTATCCAGCATCTGGGGAATAGCAAATTGCCAGTCTCCATGTCTAGACAAACTAATTGATCTGTAATTACTTCCGACGTAATCGATTCCACGACACATACCCCATTCCACCTATCTCCATCATCCCCTTCTAGGGATTTTCCGAATGCGATTACGTTTGAGGGTTTATCCTGTGGGTAAACTCATAACCGGGCATGAAAATACAAAGCTGGAAAATACAAAGCTGGAGTTTCTCGTCTAGTGACCGACGATCGATTGAACATCGAACAAACCGTCTCGCATACAGACAACACGCGATTCTCCACCCGCGTGACTCTTCCACATAGCAACGCTCCATTATTATGCTTTTTATCCTTCCATCGTGGCATTTTTTTTTTTTTTCACTTTTCCTTCTTTTTTTGTTCAGGAGTTTTCCTCCTGCCTCTGGTGTATATCGACATCGATGTGTGGAGAATTGCAATGTCACTCGTCTGCAATGAAACACGACTCTCGATACGTATTATCTCTGTCACGAAATCCCTGGATCGCTCATAATGCATAATCCCGGCGTTATGAACGGAAGAATGTGATTTGTGGCGTGCCTCGCTGAACTATCAGATTCCACAAAAAGTTGTAATATTAAATTTTTCACGAGCGAAACAAAAATAGAAGAACTGGGCTGCGAAATTCCCTGGTGTGTTTCTCTTTCCATTTTTATTGGGGGAAGTCAGATAAGTTGGAAGTAATATTTTTCGTAGAAATTGATTTTTAGGAACAACGCGTCGTTTTATGATAAAATATCAAAAAAGTGTTTTTTCAGATTATTGAATTTCTTATGAAAAAGGTATCTTGGTATTTCCTCTTAAAGTCGATTGTTTTTCAGATTAATCGCCGACAGCAGATGCACTGATAAAACTTGAACTCTTTGCTTAATCGCACTTGGAAGAGCTACATCGATCTCCACTTCTGGCTCTATTTCATGGATGCTGACTCCAAGGACCAGTCTGGATCCTTTATAACTGATATTCTCATCCCAGTTCGCTCCATCATTTGTCTGTATTACTCGACCACAACTCGGTCACAGGAATAACCACTTCACCAAGAGCAAACTCAGTCTAAACAGTTTTACGATCTCTTCACCAGCGTTACATTATCGAGATTGATTTTTAAATGGGACTTCGTTGAAAATTCCAATGTTTACGATATTGGGAGTAAAAAAAAATTGAATAAAATCCTTCTGTGAATTTTAATCAATGCCAATTAAGGTTCATGCTAAAAAGGTACCAATGGACCCCAGGACTACTCTCCGATTTGTTTTGATCCCTAGAATCCCTTTTACTAGCTACAAAGACTTCTTCCCTTAAAAAAAACAAGCATTTAAAATTTTATTTCGTATTCAATCGCCAACTTTGTATTTTTTACTACCCCCAGGGCTCCTCCCTACCTAGAATAGCTCATTTATATCAGTATTTCCAATCTGACAATAGTCCGCTATTTATTGACCCCGGGACTCTTTCTCGATTTATTTTTTCACTCAAGACCTTTTCTCCAGCGAAATAACCCCCAGAGATTTAGCCCCACATTGTGAGAAGCATTTATATTTCATTCCATTTTATTTTCAATCTCATAAACAATTCTGTATTCCCTAATAACCCCAGGAACTCTTATCGGTTCATTTTTCTTAAAACTCCTCAGACCTCTCACCCCAAAAAAATATTTATTATTTATCCACAATTTTATTTTCAACGACAAACAAAATGAGAGAACAATATCAGGAAAGCGTAATTTGGAAAAGATTCCGCAAAAGTTGCGGTATTAAATTTTTTTTCTTAGTGAAATAAAACGCGAAGCTCTGTCGAACTCGCGGAATTCGCGGAATTCGCGGATTTAATTTTTATTTTCATTCCACCACCGCAACTCTTTCATTTTTATTCGGTATTTATCGTGGGGGTGAGGGGGTTGATGGATTGCGGTTAAACTTTTCGCCGGGAGCTCCACCTGAATTTCGTCTAGACACCTCAATCTTCATCCTCATTACCACGAGCTCTGTTGCTCCCAGGCGATGACGTAAAAATTAGCAAAATATATCTCACAACAAAGTGTAACATCGATTAGAGTCTCGGTATTATTTCTCGAGTGTTAATGAACAATCCGAATGAATCTATAGAGTCAAGGCCTTCTGGAGTGCACAACCGAGTGCCTCCAAATGACTCATCAAGTATTTTTCCCCTTGTTTTGCCATTTTTTTTATTTTTTTTTCCATTTTTTTTTGTCCCTCGACATTTGTCCTCCTTCCACCATTGTCTCATCCGCGGATGCGTCACGCGATTCGAATAGCGGTAAGTCGAGGACAATTTCACGAATGCTAATTTCAATGCTGCATGTGGACATACGTCAATCTGATATTCCGATGGTTTCGAGTCGATGACCCTTCGGGGAGGGCTTTCACCAATGTATTGCAAAAAAATTTTCCGATGGATTCATTAAATTTGGAAAATGCATCCAATTCTGATAAATTTTTCGTCGGATTCACAATAAAAAATCGACTCCACATTTCATCATTATTTAATGACTCACAAAATTCGGTGTAATTAATTATAATTTTTATTAAAGCTTTTATCGACTAATTATAATTTTAATAGTAATTTTCATGAATTTTTCCTGAAAAATTTTTTTAAGGATTGATTTATCTGGTTAAATAAAATTGATTTGTTGAATTCGAATTTCATCGAATGGTAATCATAAAAAAATAATAATCAGTGGAATAATTATATTTTGAAGCGATATGAATAATTATTATCCAAACACAATGAAAATCGTGAGTAAATTGCTGAATGGGAAGATTTCGATAAAAATAACCACTTGTTATTTAGTCAATGAATCCTCACCAACAATAATTATTTTCCCCCCCTCACCCCATCAATCATCCCCCAAAACTTTTTACCTAATTCACCCCTTTACTTCCCCTTTCCGGCTGTTTCATGGTCATAAAAATGGTGCACCGAGTGCAAGCCATCAGTTAAATTACCCCCGGGGGCACTCGACTTGTATTTTAATCAAGGATCGGGATCGCTTTGACACACATCCCTCAAGTATACCACCGAGCAATCCAAGACCCATAAAGTGGGTTAGCCATGTCCTCAAATTCAACGGGGGTAAACACTGGGCGGTGGGTGAAAATATTGTGTAATTGTTAAAAATAGGGGGTAGTTTACAGGTAAAAAGTCAAGAATGGAAGACGTAAAAAAGGTGGAGTCCTCTCGTGACGGTGTTATTACCCCAGGTTTGCAATAATTTTCGTAATCGTCTGAGCACGCAATACAGTTCTTTGGGAAAAAGTGGAATACATATGTTGAGCAATGAGGGTTAAAAAAAAAAAATTACACTGACGTGCAGTCGTGGGGAACACACCGGATTGTTTTTTTTTTTTCAGACGAAATTCCCTCGGAACAATTCTCCAGTGACCTTGAGCCAAATCCAATAAATAGATGGAGAAACCTTGAAGTTGGACGACTTTTTTGAGAATTCAGTCACGTTCATCGGTCTGTACTGATTGAGATATTTTTTTTTTCATGGGTTTTTAGTTCTGCAGTGCAGGAGGAGAAATACTGAGTGATTCAGTCATCGGGTGATTATTTGGTCATTTTATTTTCAGGTGTTTCCCTCGGCAATCGGGGTAATGAGGGATTAATTGGGGATTGATGAATAAGTCAGTGCTCTTCAGCGTCTATCAACAAGTCTTTAAATACTTGGGGATCGTCAAGCACCTTTCACTCAGGGGTTGCAGGGGTAATTGGAAAATCATATTATCCGTTATGTGATTAAGTGTATACCGATTCAGGAAATTGGATAATTGAGGATATCATTTGAGTGACGAATTTCATTCTGTAGTTTTAATCAGTCATGTTAATTATGTATTATCCATTTGCTTGAACAATTGACAATTCCCATTAGTGAAGCTAATGTGGAATAACTCATTAATTTTATACTATTATTTGGGTATTTTCAATGTTTATCGAATTTATTACAGACATTTTTTAATTTAATGATTTTATTTATGTCGATTATTGATTTTTACGAAATTAACACTTTTACAATTTACAATTTTATATAAACACGATTTTCGCGCAATTTTTATCGATTGTTAGATAATTTTAATAAACAAATTTGAATATTTTAGTCGATGCAAAAATTCGGCAGTCATTTCCCACAAGTATAAAAATCCAAAAGAAAAGTCGTGAATTTAAATGAAAAAACTTTCAGTATATCGATTGAAAAATATTCCTGCATCGATGACTCACCAGTCGCCATGACGTATCCCCAGAAAAATTCTTCGAGTTTTATTCCCCGGGATAAATCCAAATGCGGGAAAGACCCGAGAGTCAAATCACCAAGAGTTAAACCACTGATAAAAATAAATAATCCACCGATTAACAAACCCTTACGCTCACACCTCACAACTCGTTAAACACTAAAAAATAATGGGAGAATAATGGAAAGCGTTACAACTTTCCGAGCACTGGAGTGCGTCCTCATGGGTTTTGTACCTGAGGAGCTCTCAGTAAAAACTAAGTACAGCTGTTGGTAGACTAAAAATGGGGGATCGAAAAAGCCAAGACCACCTGCCATTTCCAGAGCCTAAACAATCCACAACGACCCCCATGACAACAGAGGCCGTTAACAACTCACAAAAATATCCTCCCCATCCCTCCGAGGAATTTTATTAGTATCGCCATAGCTTTGACACCCCCACGTCCCGAATGACCACTTACTTGTTATTCTTACCTCATCCACCCCCTATTTCTCCTTAATTGAATTACATTTCTCCATCAGATTTTTTTTCATTTCTCTCACTTCTATTGAAATACGAAATATTAACAAATGAGAAAAACTTTTACCGAGTTGAATTTTATTTTCCTCGCTTCGCATTCACTTTTTATCCATTT